TCTATATACTTACAGCATTGTCTAATTCCCATCTCTGCTTTTATCATTGGTCCCTATGGAGCAAGCATTGTAAGGAAAAACATTTCCCTCAATTTCATATTCCGTTTGTGGGATTCCTCCTAGTGAACACTGGTTCAAAGAGGCACATTTTAGAGAGATTATTCTCAATATGACAGGTAAACCTTTGCCTGTGTGTGCTTTAAATAAAAGCTTTAATACTGCTTACACTTTAGACAAGTTAACTACTGCAGAATAAATATACAATCTAAACAGGAATTTGCCAGAATATATGGATAAATATATGATGTAGATGAAAAAAGGTGATTGAAGTGGACCAAAAGAGCACAACTAGTGGTCATTCATAAGTTTAAAATTAAAAAGCATGAAGTGGGACTAGAGAATAGAGGATTTTCTTTAGCACCAAGAAGTGGATATTTATAAAAGATTTCCTACATCAATAAACTTCAATTTGAAAGCATGAGTTTCTATTTGAGGATATGGATGAAAACTGTGATAAAAGGACACAATGCTTTCTCTGTGTCTTGGGCCATAGATGGGATGGGGAGGCGAGTTATCACACATGACCATTATAAACACTCACTATAAAGAGACCGGTAGAATACTGAAGCTCAGGGTCCGCCTGTAGTTGTAGCATGACTGTGCTGATAATTTATTTTTGTAAATAATATTTTGCTATTGAAATGCAGCATCAGAAGGGAGGTATCATGTCAAAGCATTTACTGTATATTATAATAATAATAATAATAATCCTTGCATTTGATATAGCGCTTTTCACGTCGGGAGGACGTCCCAAAGCGCTTCACAGAACACACTGTAAAGTGAATTGACTGTATATTTGTGGGCAAACGCGGCAGCCAATTGCGCACAGCAATGTCCCACAAACAGTCGTGGATTGAAAATGACCAATTTATTATTATTGTATTTTTTTTGGAGGGATTATTATTAGGCGTGTGGAGTAAGGAAACTTGCCCAAGGTTTCGCCCTCTGCCTGGAATTGAACTCAGGTCTCTCACTTGCAAAGCGAGTGCTCTAACCACTGAGCTACAGAACTTCCACATGAAGTATGCTCTTAAAGCTTGGTTCAGCAGTGTTTATCTTTATAAAACCAGTTGAGTACCATGTAAACAATTGCTTGTTCTCTGGATTGAATACTTTGTTGAACGACACAATAGCAATTTTGCCTAGGGCTAAACTTTGTCCCTTCAAAGTTTGTCTGAGTGATCTTGGTTTCATAACCAATTTCTAAAACTGCAATGTCTGTTCTTTTCATTTGTCTCCCTGTCAGGTGTATAAATTCAAAATCAACCAGTGTGCTACTTTTGTGTCCTCAGGGTTCAGTTGAAGCAAAGTCAGCAGTAATTTGACTGATGTGCTTTAAGTGACATTCTTTATGACGTCCTTTTTTGTTTTCATCAGACTGGTGTCTGACATGTGGAGAAACCCACCATCATGCTGAAGAGTATCCAAACCAAACTGAGATTTCCACGCATCCCATCTATACAGGAACATCCCAGGGATAGATTAACGGAATGGTATGCACACTCTCTCCATTGAGGGACACATCCTGCTTACCTAATTCCAGAAAGGATTAGGCGTAGGTTGATAGGCTTAGGGACCCTGCAGTGTAACCAGCTAAAACTGCATAACTTGCCATTGATGGAGGATAACATAATTACAGGAATTTTACAATAGGAGGATATTTGTATGGATACCAAAACAATCATGAAAACAAATGTAACTTTAAATGAGAATATTGTGCATGGTTCTGAGTCTTATTTTTACTGGGCTGATAGCAGCTGATCGTGAGGAACTGCTTATGTGGAAGCAGCACATTGATTACAGCAGGTACCGTATATGGGAAAGATTTTCTACCAGCATGATACAAGGAAAAGAAAATGCAGTATTCGTTAATGCATTTCTTGTGCTCGTTCTGACAAGAAATAAGATTAAGAAACATGGTAAATTTTTTCCCAATAGTTTCACCCTCATTTGGAGGTTCTAAATTCAAAATGTGTGACTCACGTATTCCAGTTAATAAGTTGGATAGAAACAAGCGGCAGTTAAGTTGTTAAATGAGATGTGAACTGGGAGACTATTGATTTCTGGTAATGGATAGAATTTCAGGTGTATATTCCTATATCAACAACAACAACAACAACAAGATTCCATTTATAAAGCGCCTTTCACGTCAGGAGGACGTCCCAAGGCGCTGTCAAGTAATCCATGAGCGACAACCAGCTCTGGACAGATTTAATGGAATGAGAAGATTGCCACAATAAAGCGCTTCAAAAAGATAGAGGAAGGATTGATATCACAATGGGAAATTTTATTAAACCTCCAGCAAAAAAACAGAGATTAACTTCTTTCTTGTCAAAAGCCATCATTATTGAGTGGTTTAATTCTTTTATTTTGAGAAAAAAATCAGAGCTGGATGAAAACCTAGATATGGAAAGGTTTGCATGTCAAAGGGATACGTGCTGGTCAAATTGATAACCTACACAATTCAGTGGCTCTTGTCCAGTGGAATGTAACCTGTCAGTGTGGAATAATGATTGTCTTCCAGGGAAAGGAGACAATTTCATAATGTTTCCTCTTGGCAATTGTGCTTGTGATTATTGCTTCCCTCATGAGTTTAAATAAACTGGGGATAGACAAGTAGACCAGATGGGAATCATATTTTCTTCATGTTCTTTCTGATTTTTTTTTGTTTTTGCTATTACTGACAGAGTGGAACTTAATGAGCGGGTGCACATTCTACTCTTATATCACAGTTGGATGGAGAGTTTGGGAAAGTGTTAAATCCTCTCTCTTGGAATTTACAGAAATATCCTGCCCACCACCCTCCACCCCCCCCCACCCCCCACCAAGAGCATAGCAGCAGCATTTAGCCATCAGGTACTGATCTATAAAGAAAATAACAATTCCCATACAGCATGAAGAAATGAAAACTGTATTGGACTCCAATATTCCATGCAGACTTGCTCCCTAATGATGCCAGCAGCTTTCATTAAATGTCAACAGTACAAGATCATTTTTCTCAGTTAGGATCTTAAAAATGTTCATAGTGAAACCGCTGCAAGCTAAAATTGGATCCCTTTTGCTCACGTAGAATGGTGCTTTCAGCAAGATTTAGCACTTATAGGATTATTCTGTTGAAATACCAACATAAAGGTTATCCTGTAACCCAAATGCATGAAAATGACAAACTCCTTAGTTAATCATCTTTGGTTGTTAATGTAATTGAACAACCAGTGAGTGTCTACAGCCCAAGGAAGTCAATTAGGTCATATCTGTCTTCAGTTGGAGTTGGGCTGTGATTTTAAAAGCTAAAAAAAAATCTCAAGACAACTGTATTTTACAATTTACATTTATATGTTATATGACGGCTTTCACGTCAGGAGGACGTCACAAGGCACTTGACAGTCCTGGTTTAGTACCTAAACTGGGGGTGGGAGCCAAGGGTGGTGGGAAACGGAAAGATGACCAAAGATTCAAAGAGGAATTCTTGAGACAGATCTTGAAAGAGATGAGGGAAGGAGGGACTAATGAATCTGGATGGAGTTCCAGAAAGTGGGGGATTTTAGTAACACATCCCATTCATAAATTACTTAAAAATGTTAAGCATCCACAATCTTACTCCCTCTCTGATTTGTCTTCTAACTTACAAGAAAACATTAATTTTTGCCCACAAAACAAACTATTTTGCAGCCACAAATTTTCTGAGAAACCTTTTGAAATAATTCTATTTATCATATAAATATCCTTGTGGTTAACAACTTTTGAACATCCAGCCATATCACAAATATTACACAAATGTCACAATATTGTTTTCTCTTTTGATCAGTCAGCTGTATATTCAAACAGAAATTGGTATTGATAGTTGTTTTTTGTTCTGTTTTAATTACTATTTTGAAGTTCTTTGCTACTGTTATTTTGAATGTAGGAAAGCACAACCTTTTAATAAGATGCTAGCCAATGCAGCTGAATATTCTCATTAAAGAGTTTCTGGCTCAGTAGCTAGTAGTCTTTCTTTTGAGTCAGAAGGTTTTGGTTTGTGTGGACAGCCGCTTCCCTAAAGCATAAGTAGGAGGAAAATACAGGAGGATGTTGTTCCAGCCTGGTCTCACATTCCTGCTAACAATGTAAATTCCACTGGCAAAATCTTGCCTGGATGTTGCTTCCGACTCCCAGATGGAGTTCCAGTAGGGGATTTTAGTAACATATACTATTCATAAATTACTTAAAAATATGAAGGATGGCATATAAATGCAAATTGTTGTTGCTTATCTGAGTTCAAAGCCAGAGTATGATGTACAGAATAAGGAGGGAATCGTGAATGAAAATTACGGAACAAAATAATAATAATAATAGTAATCTTTGAATTTGGTGTAGCATCTTATCATAGGGACATCTCAAAGCGTTTCACAGAATATACAATAAAGTGAATTAAAAATTATGTATATTTTTTGTACAATAATAATCCTTACATTTGATATAGTGCCTTATCACGTCGTTGAGACGTCTCAAAGCGCTTCACAGAATATACTGTAAAGTGAATTGACTGTATATTTTGTGGGCGAAACGCAGCAGCCAATCGCGCACAGCACTGTCCCACAAACAGTGGTGGATTGAATGACCAATTTATTATTATTACTATTTTTGAAGGGATTATTACCCCCGGAAAACGATCCGTCAATCAACTAACAACTGCTGCTATATATAATTTTTTTATATTAAAAAAAACTCAAAACAGTTTTTTTTCTGTTTTTTCATGAGACAGCACCAGCTGGTTCCAGCCTGAGAGTCCACACGTGGTACCAGAGACTACAAATCCCGGGATGCTTTGCAAACATTTTATGGGTGTGGCAGAGAGCACCACCACCACCCACTCCCCAATGTGATTGGCCAGCGCGGTCGCCAAGGTGACGGGACGCGACCTCGGCCTCGACCGCGGTGCAGTGTGGGAGGGAATCACGTGGGGTGGGAAGCGCGCGTGCGCACAGCGGGCCTCACCGCCGCCGGTTGCCAGGAGACCGAGGATGAAGGTGAGCGGCGCTGAGCTGCGTTCAGGGATGTAATGCCGTGTCTCCGCTTCCCTTCTCCCTCCCAACAGCAGCAGCAGCAGCTTCCTCCCGTCCGGTGTGTGTGTGTGAGTGGGGTCTGTGCTGGGCCCCGGGCCTGCAGACCCCTGACCACCGTCACCCTAGAGGCCGGGGTGGGGGGCTGCAGCGCCGCGGCCACGACCTGCCTCCGCCGCCCCCTCCCCTCCCCCTCCCCTCCCCTCCGCCGCCCCCTCCCCTCGGGCCCCTCCGCCATTACACTGCACTGTACAGAGAAACCTACACACAAAGAAACCCACACGTTGATTAGGGGTCTCGGGGTTAAAAAAAAAGACTCCCCCTCTCCCCCCCCCCCTCTCCCCCTCAGATCGCATCTGAAGACCCTCCTCCCCTACCCCGTGCCAACCATCCTCTCCCCCTCTCCCCCCCCCCACACACCGCCCCGTGTCCAGGCTTCGCACTCAGATGCTCTCCCCCCTCCCCCCCCCCGTGTGAAGAGCATTATAGAAATTAAAGTTGGGTTCGGTTTGGATGAATAATAACCGCAACAAATTACATTTCGTTGTGGATTTAAGTTACATTTTGATGCGATTTTGGATGTCAAATTGCATTTTTTTGACTCTTCCGACGCCCGCCTCCACTTCAAGAATTTCCAGTAACCCCGACCCAGACAGTCTCCTGTTTATAATGGACGATCAGTCCCCTCTACACCTCCATTCCCCCACCAGGACGGCCCGCAGGCCCTCCGCTTCCACCTGGAACAGCGGCCCAACCAGTCTCCATCCACCACCGCCCTCCTCCGCCCGCATGAACGTGTTCTGACGTTGAACAGCTTCACCTTCAACTCCACCCACTTCCTCCAAGTAACAGGTGTCGCCACGCAAGCGGGAGACCTGGGTTCGAATCCCGGCAGGGTGAAACCTTGGGCAAGTTTCCTTACTCCACACGGCAGATAATAATCCCTCAAAGAAAACCAATAATAAATTGGTCATTTCAATCCACGACTGTTTGTGGGATACTGCTGTGCGCAATTGGCTGCCGCGTTTCGCCCACAAAATATACAGTCAATTCACTTTACAGTCTATTCTGTGATGCGCTTTAAGACGTCTAGAAGATGTGACAAGCGCTATATCAAATGCAAGGATTATTATTATTATTATTATTTTTATAGCGCCTTCCACGTCGGTAACCCAAGTCGCTAGGCAGTCCAGGGTTGCACCCAAGCTGGGGCTTGGAATCAAGAGGGGTGGAGGGTGGAATTGGCAGTGGGAGGTGACCGAAGGCACGGTCAAAGAGGGAAGTAGTGATACTGGCCTTCAAGGAGGTAAGGGAGGGGTCGAGGTGAAGGGTCTCCAGGATGGAGTTCCAGAGAGTGGGGGCAGACTGGCTGAAGACCCCACCACCGATGGTGGGGCAGGCAAGGGCACTGGACATGTAGCAGGCCAGTGACTGCCAAAAAGAGAGAGCGGGAAGGTTGGTAAGGTATCCTTGGAGCCAAACAGGCTCCAAGGTGACATGTTTATCGGAATCGAACCAGCCCTCTGTGGTGGTATTGGTAGTCCAGTTCCTGAGCCAGTCAGGTCCGCAGTATTCCAGGGCACTGCTGATGACAGCACAGCCGGCCTGGCTCATCAGCAGGACTTAGAAGGGCAGACGAGTCACTGGGAGCAGGGAATTATCCCATTCAGCTCCTTTTAAGCCTGCAAACCAAAGCCCTCACGTGTAGTGTGGTCCTAGCTGGACAAGCAACAGGAAAGCTTGCCAAACAGCGATATCAATTGCAAGCTCTGTGCAGTTTTAGTTGGTTAGACTCCAGCAGTACTTCAACGCACACTCTGAGGTCCCCAAGCCTTGTTTCTTGCCAACCTGAGCCTAATACTTTCCAGAATTAGGTGACTAGGATGCATCCCCCCAGGGAGAGAGTGTGCATTTCATTTCAACAATCTATCTCTGGGATTTCCATGTGTAGGTGGGGTGCATGGAATTCTCAGTTTAGTTTGGATACTCTTAAGCACGGTGAAGGGTTTCCGCATGTGTCAGACACCTGGCTGACCCAATTTTTTTACATTAGGTAGGTCACATAGGTAGGGAGGAGCAAGATCATGGAGGGCTTTGAAAGTGAGGATGTTGAAGAAGGTCTTTTAGCCCATTTGATCTCATTCTTCCAGAATAGCCACCCTACTGTCCCTCCAACACAGCATCAAGCTGTTTCTATAATTGTGTTCTGTGTCCTAGCATCCATCACCCTTCCTGGAACCTATTCCAGTCATTATTTACACTTTAGGGGAAAATAGTCCCTGGTGTCTGTCCTGAAATTGTCCTTCTATTGTCTTACTGCATCTGAACATATTGTTCTGGGTTTACTTTTTCAATCCCATTTCAATTTTCATACATCTCTATAAGATCCCATTTGAGATTCTTTTGCTGAAAATCAGCACCAGGGCAATCAGTGCCTATGTGAGAGAAAGAGGGAGAAATAGGGTAATGTTTGTAGTGAGCGTGTGAGAGTGATAGGGTAATGTTACAGGTGAGGGTGTCCTCCCACGCTACCGTATTTCTCTTTTCATGCCTACTTCATACTGGTGCCAATGATACAGCATCACTTTCAGCAGTACTGCAGTAAGGCGTTATATCAAATGCAAGGATTATTATTACAGTAGTAGTACTATCTCAAATGGATAGAAAGATTTATATTTCTTGTTCCCAATGAACCAAAGCGAGAGACCTGAGTTCAATTCCAGGCAGGGCGAAACCTTGGGCAAGTTTCCTTACTCCACACGCCTAATAATAATCCCTCCAAAACCAAGACCAATAATAAATTGGTCTTTTTCAATCTACGACTGTTTGTGGGACACTGCTGTGCGCAATTGGCTGCCGCGTTCGCCCACAAATATACAGTCAATTCACTTTACAGTGTGTTCTGTGAATCGCTTTGGGACGTCCTCCCGACGTAAAAGTGCAAGGATTATTATTATTACCTGGGTTCAGAAGTTTGACGCATTTGCAAATCTCTGCTAAGCATTTTTTTTAATGTTAATAAAAACCTGTTTTTAAATGGTCCCATTGAAGGTTGGAAACGGGGAGGCATTTCCATCGGTTACCCCCATCCCCACCTCTCTCACCACCAAGAATTTTACGGTTGCATTTTTGAGCAGAGGCGGTATGGATTTGCTCCCCCTTGATTTGCCTACAAGATACAGTCGTGTGCATTTACTTTACAGCAAATCCTGTGAAGTGCTTTGAACATTGATATTGAGAGGTTGTAGTATGTGGACCATGAAATAATCTGTGGCAGAGTGAGTTTGATGGGCTGAAGGGTCATCAATCTCACTCTGCCACAGATCATTCAATGGCCTCCTTCCTGCCATAAACCTCAATATTTTTACTCCAAAGTATCTATCCATCTTTCTCTTACATCCTTAAACTGATTTCTCATCTATGATTCTCTGTAGCAATGCTTCCAGATTCCTACTCTCCACGAGTTTCTAACTTTCTGTGTTCCTATGGGAGTATTTTCATTAGATTCAAACTGAAAACCTCGATCAAAGCATTTTGCTCTGATGCATGAAATGGCCCATTGCACATTGGGGAGTATGGAGAATTGCTGAATATCGATTTAAAATTCAAAAAGATTACATTTCAAACATACTCATTTCAGCTACTCTAATTAGACATCTAATATAAATTACAGATTGCAGCAAGAACATTTTATAACCAGTCATGATTTTTTTAAAAATTCCAATTATAAGCATGCATTTGAAAGATTTAATACACTAAGTGAATAGAGAGCAGATTCCCAACGTAGTGGATTAAAACCCACAATTTGGTGATCTGACAAAGCATGAAGCTGGTTGGTGTGGCAAGTTGAAAAGTCACACTGGTTAATGGGCTGTTGGTTAGAGATTAAGATTCAATAAATATTGTGATAACAGTGCATAGAGAGCATTTTTCATTGTGTCTTAACTGGGAATGTTTGATGCACCCACTAAGTTTAAAAGTATATATTCCGTTCTCCAGCAACATTATTTCTTGCCTTTTTTCATACAATATCCCTTTTACCCCTCCCAAACTCCCAGGGCCCCAATAGTTGTTGCTTTTGTTTAGAGGCAGGAGAATACATTAGAATGCATTAGAATATACAGCACAGAAACAGGCCATTCGGCCCAACTGGTCTATGCCGGTGTTTATGCTCCACATGAGTCTCCTCCTCAACTAAGCCTTCAAAGCCTTCAAACATAACCTTCTATTCCTTTCTCCTTGTTGTTTCTCCCTCATGTACCTATCGAGCTTCCCCTTAAATACATCTATGCAACAACTCCTTGTGGTAGTATGTTCCACATTCCCACTACTCTCTGTGTGAAGACATTTCTTCTAACTTTCCTACTTGATCTATTTGTGACTATTTTATATTGATGGCTCCTGGTTTTGGTCTCCCCCACAAGTGGAAACGTCTTCGCTATGTCTACCCTATCAAAACGTTTCATCATTTTAAAGACCTGTATCAGGTCTTTTCATGAGAAGAGTCCAAGCATGTTCAGCCTTTCCTGATAGGTATAACCTCTTAGTTCTGGGATCATCCTTGTGAATCTCATTTGCACCCTCTCCAGTGGCTCTACACCCCTTCTATAATGTGGGGACCAGAACTGCACACAATATGAGAATGTTTCTTCCTGCAATATTTGTTATGTTTCAGTTTGGGATAGTTTGTACATATAGAGATAACAGTAAGTTGTTGACCACATTTATGTTTGAATATAATTTTGCCTTTAAACAACATATACTTGTCACCATTTAAAATGAGATTACCACTATACAGATGTATCACTGAGTTATAATACAATAATTGTGATTCATTGTGAAATTAAATCATATATTTGTACTGGAAAAACAATATGGTTTATTATTAACTATCATTTCCATGCAGCGAGTGTTTACCATCTCAGAAAAAATTGTCCCAGGCAACCTTATACAGTACCAATGGCAGAAAACACTGGGCAATTACATAGCTATCACTGGGTAAGTCATCTCTGTTTTACTGCAAACACTGAAATAAAAGAGATATATTTGTGTTATAAATTGATAGTTAAAATATTATCTATATATAGTCAGCAATGTTGTCTAAATGGTGTAATAGACAAATCCATCATAATGTATAGTCTGTTAGTAGCACGTTCTCACCAGACCCTTGTTATACCAGAAGGGCAGTACACTTCTGACACCGAGACATATACAGTATATTTTAAGAGATCAAATTTTAAAACCTCATTTGTTTTAAAGAAAACAAATGCTTTTGAAGGAAGACTATTTTTAAGTGACAAATTCATGTACAAATGTAAGCATACATTTAACTAACTGGCTGAATGACGGTTGCTCAGGCATATGGGAAATCTATGATTTGCCTGTTGTTACCTTGATACAGAGACTCTATGCCTTTATCAGTTCACGGATATGTTCGTGAGACATCATTCTTGTTGGAGTTGGCTTCAGATTCATCCTGTCATGTCACTAATGTGCAAAAATTCCAGTGGGGATTCCAGATTAAACAGTTTAATAGAACTTTGTTCAATTTGTATTGCAGCCTCCAGCTTCTCTAAAGCAAGTCAGAGGGAAGGTGACCAGGCAATTTAGATTTAACTATGTTACACAGAGGGTGGTGAATAGATGGAAGACTGCACAGAAAGGCAGTGAAGGCAGATGTTCTACGGGGATCTGGATATATTTTTGTTGAGCAGAGATTGAAGGGTTTATTAGAAACAATATTTTATGCTTTTGAAAGCCTTTTAAAACCCAAACCCTTCTAAAAACCTACATGTTTGCTTTTGGTTATCTTCCTCTTACCCCAAATCGCTCAAACCCCCATGAACCACAATGCTTGGACTCCCACTCCAACTGTGGTAAGTCACTTTACAGTGGTGGCACTGCATTCTTAAGAAAGTTAAGTCCTAATACATAGTTTAATATTGCCGTATATTTTTCTAATTTTTTTAAAAATTCAGCCCTTTCACTTGCAAGATTCTGACTATAAAACAATACATTTATAAATATTCCAGATATGTTGCGGGTGAGAACATATTATCCTTTGGCAAATGGATTTTAATGTAGATAAATATAAGGTATTGTATATTGGGACAGGAAATTGTGAATGCACTCAAATGTCCATCAACTAAATAGGAAAAGGTTTGAAGTGTGTTTGTTGATCATTTCCTGAGTCAAGATGAAGTTAGTTAAAACTAAATTCCTAAGTTATCTGACAATAAATCAAAATAAATTATCTTTCAGCTTGCAAAACTGTGCAAAATTCCACACCCAGCAATCAGGACCCATTTATAGTGAACATTATAGGATCCTTTTCTAATTCCGTGCAATACGCTAAAATTGAAAGTGAATAATGATGCCTTTTTATTCCCATATTGGATCTTCGTTAGAAGAAAGACTGTTGAGATTATCAGAGGAATGGTAATAATTCCTTCCAAAAAAATAAAAATAATTTGGTCTCTCTATCCATGACTGTTTGTGGGGCACTACTGTGCCCAATTGGCTGCCGCGATTTGTCCACAAAATATGCAGTCAATTCACTTCACAGTATATTCTGTAAAGAGCTTTGAGATGTTTCAAAGCTGCGATAAGGCGCTGTATCAAATGCAAGGAATATTAATATCATTAACTTAACTTTCCATGAGTCATTTGATATTGTGCCATTCAAATCAAGAGAATGTCTCAGTACGCTTCACAGGATGTACTGTAATGAAATAATTCTGGAATGACTGCATAATTTGTAGGCTAACATGGCAAACAGAAATAACGCATAAACAACTATGAAATGTTAGAATACTTTTGCCTGGGGGATTTTGGTTAGATCAATGGGAGAAACACCTTTTATTTTTTGAATAGTAACATGGGATCTTTATCACCCATGGTAATTCAGGGATTTAGACTTTTAAATTATGATGAGAGCCTTGCAGACATCATCTTATTTTCATCTTGAGACCTTACATAATTCAGGTTTTTAAAATGCTGAGGAATAGTTTATGTAGCTATAAACATAATACAGTATTTAACTTAAGCTTGTGAGCACAGAATCAGAAGACACAGATTTAAAATGAACAAACCTCAAGTGAGACTAAAGATCAGAAGGAATGTTTTCCTCAGAGATTAGGGGTTATGTCAAACAGATTCCCAGAAAAAGATGAGGCTGCTTTGATTAACTCTGGAAAAAATTAGAACAAGATGGTTAATCTTTATTTGAAAGACAATAGTAGGTTAATGTTTTCAGTGTGAATCTTCAGCAGGATTCAGTTAGCCTTTTCTTCCAAATGTTAGTTGCATTTTAAGGTGTATTTAAAAAAAAATCGAATATTTGCAAGTTTTAATTTATAAAGGAGCTAGGTTTTATGTTTGGTCTCTGTGGAACATAATGGTCCTATGTTGAAAGGATTGTAGAACAGGGTTGAATAGTGGAAGAGTGAGGAAAGATAAATATTTTCAAGGTTTACAAGGTAACTTTTGAGAATGGGGTGTTTATGCAGAACTTCCCCTCAGGAGATTAATGGATGAGGTAGGATCCACGATAGTGAAGGAGAGGGATTTTCCAATCTAATGCTTATGTGTCAGATTTATATCAGAGTTGTATCAGCCTCATGAGTCCTTAATTATTCCTATTTCTCTATTTATAATCTTTATTTATATATATATATTTCTTGAATTTAATGTCTACATAAATATATCTAAGCCTGTTTTAATTTTTTTTCTCAATTTTTTGCTTTCCAATATTGTAAAAAAAAGATTTTTATTGATGAAAATATACTTGTATTAAATTGCAGAACATTGCAAAAAAAACCTACTAATATTGATGTTTCCCAATTTCAGTTGAACTAAACATGATATGATGTTTTCCCAACATAATTCAGTTAGATTTAATATCATTGCTTTCCAAAATCATATCATTCCAGCATAACACGATCATCTGGCACATCACATTAAACTGGCACACACACAATGGGTCAAAAAGCCTTCTCTGCTGTAAATTTCTAGAGGAACTCCAATTTCTCTGGGACTCCAATCCCAGCTTGCCCTGACTCCCTCCCTCCCTCCCTCTCCTCTTCCAGGGTACGTCTCAAGAAGTACCTCTAAAAGCTGTGATGTTGAAATGTAATTTACTCGTTATATTTGCAAGCATTTTAGCATTTATCATAAAATTTAATTAATGTTGATCTGTCTTAGGTTTGACCATACCGTGAAGATCTTTGATCGGCATGGACAGAAGAAGAATGAAATTAACCTTCCAGGGTATGAAGGAGAATTGCACTGCAGCATATACTAGTAACAAAGAATACGTTAAAATGTCTGTTTTCAAAGCAACTCAATGAAGACTACAGGAGCAGCCCTGCACCTCCTAGAAAACTAGCTGATCTCTAGTTTATTTAGAATATTGCAAATTATTAAGTGATTTCCAATTCCTGTTTAAAATATCTACGATATACAGAATCATTTTACAAATATATTTTCAGAGCTATAAAAGCTACCCAATCTTCAAAGGGTTAGTATTCTAGCCATAAAGTAGATTCAGTAGATTACTGTCTCTTTTGATCAGCTGGGTGTCTGACACGTATAAATCCATCACCAAGAGTATCCAAATCAAACTGAGAATTCCATAAATCCCCCTACGTATGGAAATTCCAGAGATAGATTGTTGGCTTCTGACTTGTGGGTTTTCAATAAAACCTCTGGACAACAATCTCCCCAATAAAAATGGTTATCCACCCCATGGCTGTTTGTGGAACATTGTTGTGTGCAAATTGTCGGTCATGTCTGGCCACAAAACACACAGTCATTGCACTTTGCAGTATGTCTCATGCCATGCTTTGAGACATTCTCCCAATGTGAAAGGCACTATTCCAAATGTAAAAATCATTGTGATTTATCCAATCAAATTAACCCTTGTTTATATTTTCAAAAATACTGCATCAATAGTAAGATGTACCCTCTTCAATTTAGCCAATTGGCTAATAATAGTTATTACTGAAAAAGGCTCTCTGTTTTATATTGAATACAACTTCATTTTTAGAACATACAATATGGCATAAATCAAGAAATATTGAATCAAGAAAATTTGTTTTGTTGGCTGATCAGAAAGTTTAGCCACCAATGATCTAGGCTGAGTATTTTACAACACTGAGGATGCATTTCACTGCTGGAGGTGCTGCCTGGTGTTTTAGGTGGATGTTAAAGATTCCATAATATTATTTTGAATAAGAACAGTTATCTTAGTATCCTGATTGATTACCCTGCTTCATCCAAATAAACCTAGGATTATTATTATTATTAAATAAAAATGAATGGGCCGTACATTCCATAATATACATCCCAGGGATGTTGCTTGCACATATTTGCTCCCAAATGTGCCTATATTAGAGCCACAATTTCAATATAACTTATTTGAAGTGCTTTGAGACTTTTTGGTACGTTAAGGCATTTTGTCAAACGTAAGTTTAGACTTCTCTTATGAGACATTTTACGTTAACGTTGCATGAGTATACTAGCCTAGGCAATAAATTATAAACAGCAAGAAAAAAAAATTAAATCAATTTCCAAAAAATAAACCAACTCATTATGAAGTCCTACTCCCAGAACGAGTTTAAATTTTACTTTTAATGAAACTATTTTCTATGTTGTCCAGAATGTGTGTTAATATAGACTGGGATAAAGATGGCGATGTTTTAGCAGTGATTGCAGACAAATCAAACTCCATCTACTTGTGGGATGCCAACACACACAAACCTAGCCAATTGGATAGTGGTATGAGGTGAGCTGATAATTTCTTGACTCCGTTTTTTTAAGTTTATTATATCACTTTCATTGAATCTGCTCAATGGCTCAAGCTTAGTACTGTGGTTACGTAACTCTAGATAAATCTAGACAAAAATGTATGTTGAAAAATAATTATTCCTACTTGGACAATATTTTGAAATAAAATGCATTAAACCCCTTTTAATGTATTTCATTTCCCAGTATAGAACCTTGCTTGTGGTGTTTATTATCCCGCGTGAAGGTGCTATATAAATGGGTTGCATGAGTTTTGTAAATCTTTTCTTTTAAAAAGAATTTTCATAGTTAGAAGAATAATAGCAATAAATAAAATGTGTAAAATTAATTTGAGATGAATTGTAAAATAGCTATTGTTTACTTTAGTTCTAATTAAGAAATAGAATCAGACTCCAGTGTGTTCTGTGAAGCGCTTTGGGACGTCCTCCCGACGTGAAAAGCGCTATATCAAATGCAATGATTATTATTATTATTATTATTATCATCACTTTTACAGGAAGGGGTCAGGGAGAAAATAGGGAGAAAAGAGCTTTTAGAAGATCCTCTGGTGTTAACAGTTAATCCTCATGTGCATTTATTCAGGGATCAGATGTCGTTTCTTATGTGGTCAAAAGCCGGAACACTGTTGGCTGTGGGAACAACTAAAGGAAACTTGCTCATCTACAATCCTCAGACTTCACGTAAAATTCCAGTCCTTGGTGAGTAAAGTTTGGCCCAAAATTCTCTAAATCTCAAATATCTGAAAAGTGATCAGTTGATAGATATCTTATACCTTTATAGGATTATACGGAGAGCTGAGATTTTTTTTAGCTTTTAGTGTATGAATTTTTAAACTTTAATTGTTACAACCTGTTATTTTCCTTTGAAATATTATTTTAGCTTTCTTGTCTTCCATGGCCCTTCATTTTGCCCTAAAACATTTCCTAAAATGTTCTTATGTGCATTTCATTTGTGTTAATCAGGGCAGGACTAGAAGCCAGATTCTGCAGGTGGAAGGGTAGTGGACTAACAAGCCTCCATTTTATTGTGTTCCAGCAAAAATCTATTTTTTGTTCCTCATTCAGGCAAGCACACAAAGCGAATCACATGTGGTTGCTGGAGTTCCCAGAACCTGCTTGCACTTGGTAGTGAAGACAAGATGTTAACAGTCAGCAATCAGGAAGGAGATACCATTAGACAGGTGAGAGGGAGCACAGCAACTCAAGTGATAGTATTTAGTATCTATAATGTGATTAAGTCCAAGTTCGAGTTTAATGTGTCTTTTCAATCAATGTGAATTTAGCAATTGTTGTGAGACTAATTTATCTGTCTTTCTAAACAGACTACAGTTAGAGCTGAGCCAAGTGACGTTCAGTTTTCAGTGATGAAAACTGATGAGCGGGCGTCAATGGGAGAGAGCACGGTGCGTTACAAGAAACATCTGTTGCTGTACATTTATTAGTCCATCAGTACATGTTATACATTGATAACTCACTCTTAAATTGTAAGCACATCATAATAAGAATCTTTGATATGATATAGCAGCTTATCACATCATCCAATGTTTCAAAGTGTTTCACAGTATTTATCGTAAAGTGAGTGACTATGTGTGCTACTGTGCTGTGTATGCGTACTGTATAGGTAAATGCTATAGCCAATTTGCGCACAGCAATGTGTCACAAACAGCAGTGAAGCGAATGACTAATTTTATCTGGGGGATTCTTGGTCAAGATCCTGGAAGAACTGCCTTCTTTTTGAATTGTTCAAGGGAATCTTTAACATCCACCTGATCAGGCAGAAGGGACCCTGGCTTAACGTCTCATCTGAAGGACGGCACCTCCAGCAATGCAGCCTAGACTATCAGCACAAAGTCCTTAAGTGGGGTTAAACCCACAATTTTCTGACTCTGAGCCAGGAGTGTCTCTGAGGCAGTTTTCATCTGTGGATTTGTGTACATCAGAGGAATGCGAATCCGGATTAATTTTATTTAGTGTACCTAAGTACATCAACAGGACTAGTTTGGCCAAATGGACTATTTCCATGCTGTACATACTTTATAATCTTTGTAACATGTTAAGCAGAGAGCAGAAATTGGAGAGGACAGTTATTTCCTTGTGACTTGCTGAAATCCACTGACATAAAACATTCTTCCCCATTGGCAAACAAGGCTGCTGGCATAACATGCATGTCAGTAATGGCCTCCGGAACACAACGGCACACAGATGTGTAAACTCAGCAATAAAATTCTGAAGTTTTTTTAAAAAGAGATTGGAATAATTCTGAAAAATATTTATAAAATCAACTCTCTAAATATATGTATTAAGTTTTCATAAATTAATTTCATAAATTTGCAAGAAATGTACTTCAAAGCTGCTTCATGGAATATACCTTGATATGTTTCTGGCTTTTATCATTAGGTGAGCGTTGTTGTGGGGAAGAAAACACTGTTTTTATTCAATTTGAGTGATCCTGATAACCCCATTGAGTTGGCATTCCAGCAACGATATGGCAACATCATATCTTACAGATGGTGAGTTTACATTAATCTAAATATTGTATGGAAATGTCAGGATACAACTTTCAGTTACCATGTTGATATGATGTAAAATGTTGGCCCTAAGATTTTACCATCCTAATTGTTTTTTTGTTACTATTATTGATGCAATGAAACTCCGCTCCCCGATCACCCCAGTCCTGGCCAGACTGCACTGGCTGCCTATCGCAGAGAGGATCGACTTCAAGATCTTCACCCTCATATTCAAGTCCCTGCACTCCTCTGCACCCCCGACCTCTCTGACCTTCTCTCTCCTCCGGGTCTGGCCTCCTCCTCGTCCCCTGAATCCTCCGCTCCACCCTCGGCGTCTGTGCCTTCAGCCACTATGCCGGGAGGCTCTGGAACTGCCTTCCTCACTCCCTTCGTCTCGCCCCCTCCCTTCCCATTTTCAGGTCTCTGCTGAAGACCTTTCTTTTCAACCGCGCCTTTGGTCACCTTCCCCCCCTCCCCCTGGCTCAGCCCCGGGATCCGTTACTGCAAAGTGCTCTAAGACGCCATTTGGCGTGGAGGGTGCTATATAAATCCAAGTTGTTGTTGATGCCATTAAGGCTCTCGAAATAGTTTATTCATACAGTGGTGCTATAATGCATATTTGTAGGCGAATTGTAAAATTGTCAGTTTCAGTTTTATTTGTTCCTCTGGAATGTCCTTTGTTGGGCAAGTTTCAGAATAGAGAAGGGACACAACTGAAAGCAAATTCATATGTTGCTTAATTTTATATTCTAGGGCTGAGCTTTTGGCAATCTCGCATTTCAATTACCCTTAAATCTGTACCTCACAAAAGGAAAAATTACAGATGCGCCAGATTGGTAATTTCAATCATTTGCATTAAGATGTGGCATACATAACCATCACCTAAAGAATGTCAATTATTGGTGCAATGTATGCAAATATAATGTTAATAGCTTTTCAAATATCATTTGGCCTTTGCATTTTTGTATGAATTTATAGAAAGACTAAAAATAGTTTTCTTTTGTAATCGAGCTGGTTGTTTGCTGTGCTTCAGGTACGGGGATGGATACATCATGATTGGCTTCTCCCAAGGTTACTTTGTAGTAATTTCCACACATATCCGTGAAATAGGTCAGGAGCTGTTTCAAGCTCACAACCATAAAGACAGTCTGACCAGTATTGCCATCTCACAGTCGTTGAACAAAGCTGCTTCCTGTGGAGACAACTGGTATGTTGCATTTAGCTGGCTGTTTACTAATCAAACTTGTAACATGTAGTGTTCTCCAAATCTATGTTGAATTTTAAAAATAAAATCAATAATGCATTATTATAAGCAACTTAATAATACTAGAAAACCAGGACAGAAAGATAACAGACTTTTCAAATTTATCAATACTACATTCATATTTTGTTCCTCCTAACCTCCAAATATGGCATCCATATTCTTACTATATTCTCTGGAACTCAAGTCCTGTAGCTCAGTGGTTAGAGCACTCACCTCGCAAGCGAGCGACCTGGGTTTGATTCCCGGCAGACAAATGTTGGATAAGTTTCCTTACTCCGCACGCCTCTGTTTACTAGCAGTAAATAGGAACCCGTTTGTTAATCATTTGGCGGATCGCTTTTCTGGGGGTAAATAATTCCTTCAAAAAAATATAATAATAAATTGGTCACTTCAATCCACGACTGTTTGTGGGACACTGCTGTGCGCAATTGGCTGCCGCTTTTCGCCCACAAAATATAGTCAATTCATTTTACAGTATATTCTGTGAAGCGCTTTGAGACGTTTCGAAGATGTGATAAGGCGCTTTATCAAATGCAAGGATTATATTGTAAGACTAATCACATGTCTTCGAATGCATTTCTTTGGACAGTATTTATTTTTGAGTCTTCAGGAATTTCTTTGAATCTTATCAATGCTTATCAAATTAATGCTTTTTCCTTTTATTAAATTGTGTTTCTTCTGCTGCAGCCATGCTAATATGTTTTCTATTCTAGCATAAAAATTCATGATTTGTCAGAGCTGAAAGAAATGTATGCCATCATAAACCTGGATGATGAAACAAAAGGTAATTGCTTCTAAAAATAGACAAAAAAAATCCTGGAAATCTGAAATAAAATTGTAAAAATGCAGAAGGAGCAGGTTGAGAAAGACATCTTGATGCCTCAAGTGTGACATTTCATTAGACTCATTTTGCTTCAAAAAAAATTTTCTGGTCAGCTGGGTGTCTGATAAATACAGAAACTCATCACTTTGCATAAGAGTATCCAAACCAGACCTAGAGTTCCATGCATGCCACCTACACACGGAAATGCTCATACCTGGAACGGAATATGCACTCGCTTCCTGGGGGGGAGCACCCTGCCTACCTAATCCAGAAACCATTAGATGCAGGTTGGCGAGAGCCCAGGCTTGAAGACCCCAGAGTGTACGTTGGAGTACTGCTAGAGTTTAAGCTTTGCCATTGAAAGCACTGTCTGTCAAGCTTCCTGCTGCTTATGCAGCTTGGACCCCACTACCTGTTAGGGGTTTGGCTTGCAGGGTTACCAGGAGCTGTGTGGGAAAAATCCCTGCCCCAGTCCTGCTGATGAGCCAGATGGCAAGTTTATCATCAGCATTCCTGGATCAGGAACCAGACCACTGTCAAGGATTGACTCGATTCTGCCATTCTGTTGCCAAGCATGTCACCTTAGAGCAATTTCAGCTCCAAGGAAATTCACTTATCTCTCCCTCTGGGAGGATCGAATCGTGTTGCTTCAAAAAGAATATAACCTATATGTGAGAAACCTAACAGCTGCATGAAAGATAAATGAGTTGTGGCACAGTTGTCTGTGTTACTTAATCTAATATTGTGATGATAATACAATCAGCAGTAATAGTTATTTAATTAAAGCCACAGAAGTGATGAAATGCCATTTAGTCTCTAGATTTGTTGAATCCTATATAAAAAAAACACAATACTGAGCAACAGCAAAACCTATTTTGCAGCTGGTAATTTTCTTTGTGACCTTCTATCATACTTTTCAGGTCTTTTCAGACAAAAAGGAAGGCCCAAAGCCAAAATGACAACTGCAATTGTGAATTTAATTTCGCAATTGGATCCAATGTTTTGCTTTTAGTCATTTTTTCGGCAATGAAATGTTTGTCAAAAGGTCAGAAAGCAAATCGCTAGCCACAAAATGAGTTTACGCAAGCATTCACATCATGGTTTTTAAGCAAAATTATCAGCAAACACAGAGTTGCATTTAGCACCGCGCTTCTGTTTTGTAAATGTCACATATTAAATTCCAATGTCCAATTTAGGTTAAGTGTGCTATTTATTGGCAAGTTTAATTTGCTGGGTTGCTTTTCAGGATATCTAAAACTTTTCATATTGGACTTTCAGGACTGGATCGATTGTCTTGGACAGATGATGGGCAATTGCTTGCTGTATCCACACAGCGTGGAACACTTCAGGTTTTCCTTACAAAACTTCCAGTCCTTGGAGACACATGTGGAACACGCATAGCATTCTTAACTTCTCTTCTGGAGGTCACAGTGTGCAATCACATCGAAGGAGTGCGTACTCTTGTAAAATTATTTTGGAAAGTAATGTTTAATCTGTAAAACAAGTTATGCGAAAAGTCTGGTTATTCACTCTTTGCCACCTAATTCTTCTGACAAGATCCAGATAATGATAAATAGCACTGAATGTTTTAGATTGCCCTTTTCTCATCCCTAGTCTTAAAACCAGGCTTTCTGCACATCTTAAAAAGAATTCAAGACCATAGGCTTTATACTGAACACTGAATTTAAGAATTTTTCAAAATTCTGTATGGACTTAAATTTAAGGAAAACAGTGGCCTTAAGGCTAAGATTGTGATAATTTTGTATCTTTGATTTATTCTGGTACCAGAATGCTTTGTTCATTCAAATTATTAGTAGTAGTTCTTCCATTTTAGGATTAAGACTAATTTGAAGAATTATGGAACTGAGTAAATTGCTTACAAATTGCTTGTAAATGAAATTGGAAACTAGATGCTCAGTGACCTTGCACGGAATTACAAAGCTTTTGCTTGTTAATCGGTGATAATGGGACATAAATGATGACATTTATAGAATCAGTATGAACACTGTCAGCAGAGTAACTAGTATCTGATAAACAGCCTAATATTCTTGTGTTGGAAGCAAACTTGATCTGATGCTGATAAGTAACGTCATAATGGGTTATTCATCGTACGATTGCCAGAGCATGTATTGCTGCAAATGATGGACAACCTAATTCGCTATACATACACAGAATATAGCATAAGCTTATATTCTATATATAAGTAAGATCAAGTGATTGTATGAAACTGATTATCATTCACAAATTGGAATCTAATATGGTGATTTCTAATTGGATTGTTTAAATAAGGAATTTGAGGTAGATCTCCTCGTGATAACTACAAATATGTCATGTACTTTACACTGACCTGCCGAAACTTCACTCTGCATTCAATTGCCATCCTTCCAGCTTCTTTAATTAAAGTTTTCCATTAACAAAGAACTATCACCATCAGTCTTAGCGAGAGACCTAGCTAGTTTTAAAATTATTGAAAAAGGTGTAGTGTAGACCAACTTGTTAAAATTATTGTGGCTTTCAGCGCTCCTAGAGGCTACCCGAGATGTTATTGTTTATCTTTCATTCACAGGAACCGCCAATCACAGTTTCCGTTGAACTGGAACCAAACTTTATTGCTGTGGGTCCGTATCATGTAGCGGTTGGAATGAATAATCGAGCCTGGTTCTACTCTCTTGGAGAAAATGGTATAATTCAACTTAAATCTTTGTAAAACTATAAATCATAAAGATTATGGAAAATGGATCATTTTAAATGACCTTTAGAATTCAACTTGTGTTACGTTATAATGGGAAACATGATTTGCATTCTAAAATCAATTTTTAATCTTTTTTATCCATGCTGTATAAAGATTTTTATTTTTTCCTTAATTATACTTTAATATGGTGGAACGATACTTTCAAACAGTTGTGAATATGATTACAATGCTGAAATGGATAAGACTCAGCATCTCAGAGTAGGCTTGCAAATCTCTCAAATCAATTAGGTTTGCAACTTGTTGGTAAAATATGGTGACTGTGTTTTCTTTCCAATGATGACTAAAGGCCACATTCTCCAAGCAAAACCCTTTCTTTCTTTCTTTCTTTCTTTCTTTCTTTCTTTCTTTCTTTCTTTCTTTCTTTCTTTCTTTCTTTCTTTCTTTCTTGCTTGCTTGCTTGCTTGCTTGCTTGCTTGCTTGCTTGCTTGCTTGCTTGCTTGCTTGCTTGCTTGCTTGCTTGCTTGCTTGCTTGCTTGCTTGCTTGCTTGCTTGCTTTCTATCTATTGATCTATCGGTCTATCTATATACTAATAAAACTACAATGTCTGTCTGTGCTTCAAGAAGGATCTCAATAACCGATTGATAGAGCCATGATTTATACCTCATCTGAAAGGTCTTGCATCTGGGAGTGACATGGACATATTTGTTTTCGGGCATCTCCTATCAATCACAAGTTATTTTTATTTTTTCACTGCAGTCACACCCGGTGGCCGCCAAGTCAACGTGGTGCGGTGGCATCATTGGTCACAGAGCACTTACGTATATACGCACGCACTGCAGTCACATCTAGTGGTCACGCCGGCTGACCATGGCGCTGTGGCATCCTGCCACATGTAGCCGAAAAACAACAAAATTATATGTTTAAAGCGCCAAGTCTTCCCACTGAGTCCTCCCAAAAGGAGTCCTCCCACAGGAGTCCTCCCAGATGGTTATAGATAAAAATGAAATGTGTGTCTGTCTCTGTGTCCATCTACATTCCATATTGAATCCTTTGGTTGCAAGCGATGGGTAGAGCTAATATTCTATATGTTCTATCTATGGAGGGATAGAACCTACTTCACTGGTTAAAGAAAGTAAATCCAGGATAAATACTTTCAGATATGTCACGACAGCAAAACAAGAAGGTACAAGGTTAACAAAATATAAAGAAAAAAGTTATAATTGCTAGTTCACCACAATGGCTAGGAGTATTACTGTGATCGTAACTTTTAATTAGATATACTATATTACTTGTTGAACCAATAATCTGTGGGTTCACTGCATCTAATATTCTGGAACCAGAAGTATGTGAGGCTTTTAGGGTGGGGATATAAACAGATAATGTTCACATAAATAAGCTATATTTTACCCTGGAATATCTAATTGAGAGAGGTATTGTATTAATGTTGTTTCACTCTTCAACCTTTTCTTTGCATGATGGCACTTCTCAGAAATTACAATGATTCCATGCCATCTCTTGGAAATGAAGCCTTCTATGGCCCCTGTGATTGCACCATATAATAGAGATTTTTGCAGGGATTCTATGCCCCTAACTTCTGGAACTCCTTACCTCAACCCCTCCATCTCATTCCTCTCTCTATCTGTCTGCAATTCCCACCTTAAAACCTACCTTTTCGACTGTACGTTTGGTTACCTCCTTCCCTCTTGTCTCCCCCTTGACCGGCATCTGCCCCGTCATTGAAAAGCACTCCGAGACATTAGTCTGTGAACGCTATAGGATGCTTTACAAATCCAAATTTTGAATCTCTGCTACCTTGTTTGAACCTTCAGGAGTGGAAAAGCTAAAAGATACCGAATACTTGGGGACAGTGACAAACATGTGTCTGAATTCTGACTATGCAGCAGCACTCTTTGAGAACAGAGTTCAGCTTCATATGGTAAGTATGAAATAAAGTTAGATTTTTTTCCCCCCCTAAAAAATGTTTTTTCAATTACTGAACTAAATTGTTCTTTGTTTTGCTTTGAAGGTTTTGCAGATAATAATAATTTTACTTTCATTAACTGGAAAATTAGGATTAAAAGCTAATCACAATTGGGGGTCTAGGACCCAATATCTCATGGCAGCTAAGCTTTTTGAGTCTGTGTTGTCTGTTTAGATAGAAGGTACTTTTGCCAGCACCATGTAACACTGAAACACATAAAGCAGTTTTTAGTGTCTGTTGTGTTATGCTCAGTACAGGCTCTGAAAATGTTAAGAAATCTCAAAAATATAACTTATTTTATAAAAAATATAGCTGTATGTTACACAGTACTAAAATTAAAAATAAATTTAAAGACTATGGTATTTCAATCTCATGGTTACTCTGCCATTTATAAACTTGCTTAGAGATTGCTCATTTGCTTCCTTGTAACTCAGCTGCCCATCTTTTATTTTATTTTCTACATTTTCTGCTTAAATTAAGTTCCATTCTAGGGTTCCATGAATGCCAACACCTCTCTGGTACCCACCTAAAGATTCTTTATTGATGCATGTGAATGTATTGAGTGTCAGCAGGATATCTGAGGGTGGGTGGGGAGCAAGGAGAAATGAACACCACCCTTTACCCACTCCAACATCTAATATTTTCTCATATTTGGTAAAGATCATTGGATAGCGTAGCATTGCTATGTTCTAACCTCCCTTCTAATTCCTTTGGTGATCATCTTAAATTTGTATCCTCTTATTATTGACTTGCAGAACAGTAGCAATAATCTATTTATTCTGCAATACCTTCATCTTAAAGATCTCGCTTTGCTCCTGTATCATTAGTTTTCCTAAATTGAGTTTAAGAATGGCGAAGCACTCAATAATGGCACTTATGTGCCAAATATATACCAAATCTTTACTTTCCTCCAAATCTAACCACGAACGTGTCATTTTAAGTATTACACATGTTGCCTCTCTCATCTGGCAATCTACCATGCCATCAAATGTGGAACTTGACATTCTGCTAGGAGAGCAGCATGTTGTTTCAGTTAGGTTTATTTTAATTAGTTAGCTGAAGTTTTCTGAACTGCTGCATTATTTCCCATATCATTTTCAAGCACCACAAATAAATGTGAAGATGCAACAACAACAACTTGCTTATATAGCACCCTCCACACAGGGCAGTGTCTCAGAGCGCTTAACAATGTCAGAGCCGGGAGTGGGGTGTGGGGGAGGTGACCTTAAGCATGGTCGAAAAGGAAGGTTTTAAGGCGGGTCTTGAAAAGGGGTAGAGAGGGGTCAATGTGGAGGGGTCGAGGGAGAGTGTTCCAAAGTTTCGGGGCGTAGTGGCTGAAAGCGTGACCTCTACTGGTGGAGTGGAGGGTGCGAGGGACGAGCAGGAGGCCGGTTTGCCAGTTGAGCAGAGGCGTCGGGTGGTGTATTGGGGAGTGAGGAGGTCGGAGAGGTAGGGAGGAGCCAGAGGTGTCAGGGAGTAAAGCGATTTGAACAAAAGATAAACTGACGGCAGGTCCAGCATGAAATATCTTTTAGTGAAAGGAGTAACACTGAAACTGTTGTAAGTTTCAACATTTGCTGTAAATAGAGAAATGCTGTAAATGTAAATAGAGAAATAGAGTCTTCCCTGAAATATTCTTTCACAGCAATATTTTCTGAGTATCTCTGAAATCTAATCATTTTGTTCTCATTTGTAGATCAGGTCTCGCTATGATTTTATGCTCCCACTTATTCAGCAGGTATAGTACAGGTTGTTTAGAAAATGAAAATTAGTGTAATTTAGCTGGTCAGTTAGATTGTTTTTTCCTGTATATGTGACATTTATCTGGCCCATGTATATTGCATATATGAAGTGACGTCATTCGGATTAAGTAAACCTTTAAGTCTGTCTACAACATTGTGTGTGATTAGCACTCAGTGGTTAAATAAAATATATTTTTTAAAAGTGTGAGATTCTATAATGCCCTGATGTTGTGCCACACGATAGTGAAGTGCTGGATTTTATCTACATTTCCCAAACAATCACTTTCCAATCTTATCTATAACTTTGGAGGTGGTGATTGGCACTTATTCAGAGGAAGACTTAAAAACAAATTGGAAGCCAAACTGCTCTGGGACATCTTGAAGATCCTTTAGTGACTTGACAGAGAGTAGAATTGATGACCAGATTACTTGCCTGCCTCTCCTCTAGGAAAATAAATTGTATTCAGCATGGAGAGACTAAAGAGGGGAAGAAGAGAAGAGCAAAATCAACATGGCAAATCATATGTGATTGAGATTTCCCTTTTTACAGGAAGCAAAATAAGGCAACAGGACAGCAAGGGTAGTAAAGGAATTTGCTTCAAGTCTATTCAAAAGTATATCATAATTAAAAGTTCATAAGTTTCAGAATTGAATTCAAAATGATATATTTTGTTTATGTGTCCCTTACAGAGATTGTCTGTTATTTTCACTGTTTAAAACTAAAGTTCTCTATGTTAAATAAAAACAAAACAAAATTGAATGGTATTGCACTATTCCATGCAATAATGCATTGCACATCTGGAACTTGTACTTTGAGCTTATTTACCAAGAGTTTTTTGAATTGGATTGCCTTGAACGGAATGGAAGGAAGTGCCTTTTGCTGTAATATATTACTTATGTTAGAAAACCATATGGGAATTTTTATTTGATGAAGCATGTGTTGGCTCAGTAAGAGTAGAATAAAACTAGGAAATAAAACTAAGAAAAACTCGACTGCACTCTGAAGTGATTTTGCTTCCATTCATAGGATTGTTAATAATATGATCCAGCAATGTTGCTTAGCCATATGTTGTTGAAATCTACGCTGATGAATTTTTGTCTTATTGCAAAAATAATTTGGTCCCTGGTCCTAAACCAAATAAAGAGTGACCATGGAACTCTCTTCTCCCTCTTTCCACAACCCCCATCCATCCACTGCAACAAGTGTGCAGGGCTAGAATTTCAGTTATGAAGGGAAGAATTGGGCACGTTGCCCTGGGGCCTCTTTCAATTGAGAATCTACATGACAATCTGATTAACCTAGATGAGAAATGTTATCTTATGCTGGGAAGCAAAAATACAAGATCTTCGCCATAGCACAACCTGGGACTTTTAGATAGATTTTTGGATAGACTGCGATTCTGGCCAAACATCTGGAACCTGTAATTTGAAAATACTATATGAAAATAGTGGTCAACAAAACAAAGTAAGCAAACATGTTTTACCTTAATTGATGTGGTCCATATATTAAAATATAATCCTCACATTTGGTCTAGTATCTTGCACATCAGGAAGACATCCCAAGGCACTTCATAGGATTACTATGAAGTGCAGTGACTGTGTATTTGTAAACAAACGCAGCAGCCTAATTACACACAGCTATACTCCGCAAACAGCTATGAAACAGATGACCAATTTTATTTGGAGGATTGTTGACCAAGATTGATTATGTTGCATGGATTGTTTACTCCAGTTTTGACTTGTGAGTCTTGATTTTAGTGGTGTGTTGAGCAATGTAAAATTGTAGTGAGTGAACAATTCATAGCTCGAAAGATTGGTTTAGTCGTGGCTATCCCTAGGAACCATTTGATGCAGGGTTGGAATTTCAGTGGATTCAGTTCTTTAATTTAAAAATATATATATATGTTAAAGCTTCTGCGTAAGCTATCACTTTAGTGCAGTTCTTAGGAAGTTGCATTTTTGGAAGAGTTGCCTTTCAGGGAGATGCCAGGGATATGTGTCTGTTCAGGTGGACATTAAAGATCCCATGACATTATATTCAAGAGATAAATTTAGAAACATATTAAAGTATCCTGACTAACAATCCCCCAAATAAAATAATTCATTTGTTTCATGGCTGTTTGTAGAACATTGCTGTGTGCAATTGGGCTTCCTCGTTCACCTATAAAATACATTATTCACTTCACAGAAATATAAAATAACATTGTAGTATTGTAATCTGTTGCCAGAGACAACTCGTCTATGACCTCTATTGGCAAATATTAACCATTGCAGATTTATTACATTTTATCAGGAACCTGAGCATTATGAACTGTTAGACCACTATATTAAGAAAGCCTGGAAGTTTCCAAAGTTTCTGCATGATTTAGGCTGATACTTCAGTACAGTTCTTGGAAAGTTGATGAGCAGTCCCTGTATGAAAAGTTGCATCAAAGTTACTTTACCTGTTCAGACAGACATTAAAGGTACCATGGCGGTATTTTTTAAAAAGCAGAGAGGTCTCCCAGTGTACTGGCCAATATTTTCTCTGATCATAATACACCATAAAACAGATCAGTTAGTCATTCATCTCTGCTGTTTACACAAATTAACTGTTGCGTTTGCCTGCTTAACACATAAAGATAACTCATTGAGTTAAACCCTTGGGGGCAGTTTGATATAACAAGATGCTAAATCGAGTACAAGCATTATTTATTATTTACAACTTCATTCTGCACTGAAAGAAACATCTTGTTCAAAACTCAGCAACTTTACTCATGCAAATGTAATCAATTAATTAATAAATATAAATTTTAGCACCACAATACTTTTAACGGGAAACAGTTGAGCAAAGAGGCGGTCATATTTGTTTTCTCACTTTCCTATAAATTTTGATAAAATTAATTTCTAGAACTTTGCATTTCTGCAAATCTTGAATCAGCAGTGGTGTGAGAGTTGCTGCTGTTGATTTGTGGGACTCCTGATACAGTGAGTATTTATATGAAAGGATAGTGTCAGGTAGCTGTAGTATTGAGACAGAATTCTGAATGATCTATAGCTTATGGAGGGAAAAGTTGGGAAGGCCGATAAGCAGGGAGTTGGCACAAACACATGAATAAGGGTTTTGGCAGCCTGAGGGGTGAGGCAGTGGCAGAGCCGGGCTACGTTGTGGAGTTGGGGGAAGGCAGAGCGGGTCATGAGGGGTAGAAAGGACAGTTGACAGTCCAACAAGACACTATAAAAAGAATTAGTTAAAACATGTGTTGATATTAAATTCTGTTTCAGTAAAGATGTTATTTTGTCACAGTATTGCTGCAAGGTGTGAGGAGAATGTGTGGAGACCTGTAGCTCAGTGGTTAGAGCACTCGTTTTGCAAGCGAGAGACCTGAGTTCAATTCCCGGCAGAGGGCGAAACCTTGGGCAAGTTTCCTTACTCCACACAGAGCCTAATAATAATCCCTCCAAAACCAAAAACAATAATAAATTGGTCATTTTCAATCTACGACTGTTTGTGGGACATTGCTGTGCGCAATTGGCTGTGCGTTCGCCCACAAATATACAGTCAATTCACTTTACAGTATATTCTGTGAAGCGCTTTGAGCCATCTAGAAGACGTGAAAAGCGCTATATCAAATGCAAGGATTATTATTATTATTAATTAAAAGTTTTTAAGAAGTTGCAACATTTTTATGCAGCAGAGAGCTTGACTGCACTATTTAATTCTGGATCTCATGTTCTTCTTTGGTCTGGTTATAGATCGAACTTGAAGGTATGGAAGCCCAGGAGGAAAGAGAGACTCGTCTCTTTCCAGGACGTGATGACCAGTGCAAAGTCACATGCCATGCATTGACTGCTGACTTCTTGATCTATGGAACCGATGTATGTGCCATACCTGGAAGCTGTACATTGTAGAGAATTAACAGGACTGGTTGCAAAGTCGTTAATATTATTTAGTTATTTCCTTTAATAATCCACCTTTAATAATATGTTAATATTGATGGGATTATTATGGTTTCCAGGTGATTAGGTTATGGTTCCCTTGAAGATCCCTTCTAAGATGTTACTAAAAATGTATTGGCAAATAACACAGTAAGATAAAGGAAAAGTTTATTACCAAATTAGTTTGTAGTAAGAACAGAGCCTTGTAGCACAAATAATGCCAGTTGCAAACTGCTTCTGAAATGCAATGTATATACTGTATTACTGGGTAACATTGATGCTATTCATTTTCAGTTATGACACAACTTGAAAATAAACTGGTATTTAAAGATAAATTCTTTTTCATGTTAAAAGGAAACCAAGTCACAGAAATTCTGAAACGCGTTGTAATTTAAAGCACATTAATTTGGTTCCCAGTCTAAGATAGTCCATGGCTGGGAAGCAAATCTGCTACCACATATCTGCTAATATTACTCTTGATCTTGAGAGGTTTATAAGAGCACGTGGGTGTCTTTCTGTGTCTCTCTCTCACCCTCCCCCCCTCCCCCTGAAGGAATGTTATGCTCTTCATTTGGCATATGCTCCTGTCTGAAACATAGTTGTGATTGAGAACTTGCCATGAAATAAATGACTGATATGCCCTGTGAGTCGCAGAATATATAATCATTTATAAATAAAATAAATAAATTTTAAAAAAAACAGACAACAGGGAAATGATTAAAAACCATGTAATTTCTAGTTTAGTCAAAATTAAGAAATTACAAACCCATTTTAAAGAGCTAGTGTAAAACAACAGGCCCAGAATATTTAGAAGTCTATAAACAATGGAAAGTGAAAATCTGGAAATTGTAAATTTATTGCAAGGTTACAACCTATTTCTCAAAGATGTTTATCTTGTATGTTACGCTGTTGTTGTAATTTTTGTATTTCTTTTGTGGGTCCAAATGTTTGTTTGGTTTCATTGTTTCCATTTTTTACTCATCTTAGAAACTAAATAAAAAGTGCCAAGTATTCAAGTCGTGTACTGACAGTAACCAATTTCTCCATAATTTCTTTCTGGTAGACTGGCATCATTCAGTACTTCTACATTGAGGACTGGCAATACGTGAATGAATATCGGCACACAGTCAGTATCCGTAAAGTTTTTCCAGATCCCAATGGGACCAAATTAGTGTTTGTTGATGATAAGAGTGATGGGTTTGTCTACTGCCCTGTAAGTACACCTCTTTGTATTGCAAAGCTACTGAGACAATCAGTTTTTGTATACTAAAAGATGTTATAGTTCTAGAATATTCCCGTTTTGTGTATTTTACATTTGAACAGCAGACTGTTTCACATTAACCTTTGTCCTGTGTTTTAAAGGTAAATGATAGCATATATGAAATCCCCAACTTTTCTACAACTATCAGAGACATTCTCTGGGAGCACATTGCAGTGGATAAGGGTGTCTTTATTGCTTATGATGATGATAAAGTGTACACTTACATGTTTCACAAGGACACAATTCAAGGTAATGTACAGTCGTGGTTTAATGAATTAATCATCATAAAATTGTTGAACTGTAGCTGGGATAACCCTATTTAAGCGCTCAGGGATGCTACCCTGAGTGAAGGGTGCTATATAAGTGCAAGTTGTTGTTGTTTTCAGGATTACAGAGTATGTACCTTCCAATGTGAAAGCTGCTATGTAAATTTATTGTGTATAGCAATTATATGAATAAACTTACACAGTGAAACTAAAAGGAATTCACAAAATATAATATTGATATCCATTGATTCATTTCTTCATTCTTCACATACTCCACATTAAATTGCTAGCGTCCAAATAACAGAAATTAAGAATTTTATTCTCATGAACCATGTATATATGTGGTCCACATGTGTAGAGGGCATGTTTACATCCCCTCATCAGTTCTTTTTTATTCATTATCAAAAGTAATTCTGGTACTCTGAAGTATGGAATTTAATCTGTCAGCCCATCTTGATTCATAGCACTTTTGCTTCTTAGTCAGAAGGTTATTGGTTCCCACATCAGGACTCAGCTCCTAATCCCATATGACACTCCATTGCAGCGCTGATTTTTTTTTTAGAAACTGCTGCATTGTTAGAGGTGCAGTCCTTCGAAGGATATGTTAATGTAGGAGTAGATTAACAGTTATTTTCAGGCTTTTCTTTTTACTGTAGTCGTATATCCTATGTGTCAAATATCCCTGATGCCACAATAAACTTTTTATGTTCAACGTTTCTTTATCCACAGGCTCCAAAGTGATAATGGCAGGTGGTACCAAACTTCCTTTTTCTCACAAGCCTTTGCTTTTGTATAATGGAGAATTGACATGTCAGACACAGAGCGGGAAAACCAACAATATCTTGTTAAATACACACTCATTCTTGAATGGTGTTAAGGACATTGGGCAAATTGAATTGCAAAAAATGCTTACCCAGAGTTTAATGCTGAAAAGGTAAGTTAGTAGCATTTTCCTTTGAATTAAATCTTGTGTATTTTGATGATTAGATTCTGGTTATCTGTTTGTGATTTCTGCAGGTTCACTGAATCATGGGAAATATGCAAACTACTTAAGGATCCCTCCACATGGAATGAACTGGCTCGTGCCTGTCTGCACCACATGGAGGTGGAGTTTGCAATCCGTGTGTACCGTATGATTGGAAATGTAGGAATGGTGATATCACTGGAGCAGATCAAGGTTAGTACTGATCATAATCTGCTAAAGTATCTTAGTCATTTCAAAATAACTTGCATTTATATAGCGTCCTTCATGCAGGATAGTTTCTTGGAGCACTGATTATTTCTTATTGGAACAGTCCAGTGCAGTTTGAATTGGACAAAGCTCATTTATGTCACAATGATGCTGCCTATTCAGTAGGTTAAATAAATGCTTCTATTATTATATCAGTCATAAACTGCTGTGAAATTAAATAAGTGGGTGCCATGAATATATTGCTTTGACAGATTTTTCACATGTCCATATTGCCATTTGATCAACTGAGTAACATCTGGATTTAGAAATATACTAGTGATTCACAAACTACTTGTTCAGAGGTAGATGTTTAAGAATTGGAGCTGTTTAGGAATGTAATGGTATTTTAAAAGACTAAAAAACATTAAGTACTCAATCTGCTTCTGTTATACACGTTTACAGTCTAAAATGATCTAAACTTGAATGTTGTATTGGTGTGCCTGGACAATAATATAATAATGCAGAATTTTTTAAAAAAATATTCACTTCCATAGAACATATTACTTTAACAAGGTTTTATTATTTATTTCAGAATTAATGGCTATTGCTCAAACAATTGGCATTTAGAAAAACTGTCTTCTTGCAGGACAACACGTTGCTTTTTAATGTTGCAGTTTTATTCCTTCATCTTGTAGCACATCAATAGAAATCAGTACAAAAATGAAATTTTTGAGAGATTGTCAAAGATGACACCTGCTATGGAAATGATGACATAGCAGTAGATATAGCTGTTCCAGGTTAGCGGGCTCTGTCTGCTGCAACCTTTCCACAACGCAGATCATTATAATTTACTTTAAAACCAATTGCACTTATTTTATAAATAAAATTAGGAGTTGATAGTAAAATATGGAATTGCAGTACTTTTTTTAAAACTGAGGAATTACTGTATATATTTTTTAAAAAATCAAATTTTACCAATGCTTTTGATATTTTTCTGTTTTAATTAAAAATGGACACATTTTGTATTTAAGGTCTAAAGTAAAAATACTGGATATGAGACGCACCACAATAAAATGATCAGAAAAAACAGAAACCGTCAAAATGATGAACATGTAATGGAAGCACTTAGGAGATTGCTTTTAAACCATTTTGGGTGGCATTGAATACTTACATTGTGAGTCAGGAACAAAATGTCAGTCACCCTGGAGGCATAGAAACTCACCAAATTATGTACTCAGGAGTGTGCAAATGGTGCTGTTTATGAATTCACCACTAGGTGGCACATATCTTACATTGGCTGCAGGAATGAGTTTTTGGCAAAGATCTTGTGTAATTTAGTTCTGCAGGTGTTAACGCTGACCAGGACTAAACCTACTCTGGGTGGAAATAATATAGAGGGACTCCTCTAGGGATTATTGCTGTTCACAATAGCCATCAATAATCTTACTTGGACCTCAACACCAGATGACCTAGGTTTAAAATGATGATGTGTGTGTTGCGAAATGCTGGAAAACTGACTGAGCAGCCGTGTTGGAAAAACCTCTAGTGAATAGGGAGTAAAATGATAAAGTGATCAAGTTTGGTAAACAACTACATTGTCAGATTAAATATCGTTCAATGTGTTCATCACAGAGTAAAAGCAATATAGTTTCAAAAACAAGCTCTTTTGGATCAGGATAATGTCTGTGGCTTGAATTAAATTATTTTCACTTTCATTCCCTGCTTATCCAAATTTACCACAAGAATTCTAATTGTGTACTTATCTCGTCCTGCTTGTCGACCACGTGAAGCAGTGGTAAACATGGAAGAATCACTCATTTGCACAGTCTCCCAACATTATAACCCTACATACCCACCATTGTGATTGTAAATCTAGGTGTATTTTGTGCCATGTATAACCACATTATAAGTACTCTTAATTGCAATAATGATCCTTACATTTGGTGAGCACCTTTCATGTCAAGAGGACATCCCAAAGTGCTTCATGGGGTATATTGTAAAGTGCAGTGTATTTTGTATTTTGTGGTTGAACGTGGCCACAATTAATTATGTAATTAACCAATGAAAATAAGTGAATTAAAAAATCTTTTTCATTTGTTATTAACTACATAAATTGAGCACCTGTAATTCCCTCTGTACATCGAACATCATGCACCTGTATTTACACATGTTGCATAATAGACCATCACTAAAATTAATAACCAGTAGAATTTTACAAATGATGCATTCAAATAAGCTTAGTTTTTACTTTTTCAGGGAATAGAAGATCACAACCTTCTAGCTGGGCATCTTGCAATGTTTACAAATGATTTCAACTTGGCACAGGATCTTTATCTGGCATCCAGTTGCCCAATTGCGGCCCTGGAGGTAAGGAGTGTGTGTGTTTTCCTGTGAAACATTGCTACTAAGGTCATTGACACTTTTATCTTTTAAGGGGACAGTTACAAGAAAGTAATATGAAGACCTTTGATAATCGTACTCAGAATGCTTTCCTTTCATACATGGTGGAAATTCGATTTGCTTTTATAGAAAAGTGCACAATTTATCAGTTATTATCTGCATGTATGGCCAAACAATTTGCTAAGATGTCAGTGTTCTGTGATAATAAAGCAGCAGATTGGAGCACCTGAATGATAGAGTGGTAACCCACGGGTCCACATGAGAGGGCAGCCGAGTTTGAGGGGAGATAAAACACCAGAGTATTTTATCACTACGTGTATTTTTAGAGGGAGCAGCTAAATGTTGATTACAAACGTTTTTTAGATCAGTGATCTGTTGCTGCTCATACAAGAGAATCAAACAATGATTCCTAAGTGGGCCGTGCATACGTCAAAGTGCACGATGATTAGACAACTATTTGCGAATTTCTTAAAGGGACACTTTACCTCTGAAGGTCATTTACCTCTAAAGAAAGATGGAGATATGTTGTATGTAGAATAAATGAAGAATTAGTGTGGCATGAGGAAATTAAAAACAAGTATGTACGCTTGTCTCATTTTATTTACTTTGATAGAAATTAAATATTAGTTGAGTTAACTTGTTGTTTTAGTCTGTCAACCTATAGAGATCTTACAGGGTTTATGGTCTGTCTGTTCCTGTTTTCTAGGTTGGTGTCACAAAGATTTTTTTCAAATATTATTGGAAAAATCAATAACTAAGGAACAATTTGCAGCCTTCAACACTGTTTTCCTAGCTATTATGTTACTATCGTGAGCTTAACTGTTGTTTGTGCCAATTAACACCATATTTAAAGCAGAGAAATTGATTTTTTTTCTGACAGGAGTTTGGCAGTTGTACAAATAGAAATAAAGGCTGTGCTGTATAAAAATAATAGCTAGGAAATGCTATTAGGCCCCTGTTGTTGATTTTTGAATGAGCGGCATTTATGTTGGGGTTGAGAATAAAAATCAATAGTGCATGATAAATGGACTCCAAGTTACTGTATTATATTTTGCAAGCAGATAGTGCAGTGAGCAACAAAAGTATCTCCACATGTTAATCGTAAACTGGCCTCATTTCAGTATGTAAGACGTCCCTGAATCTAAAGCTCAGATAAATTTCATAAGCTTTGGAAGGTAAAGGGAAACTTTACCACAATTCTAATGCACATTGACTATAATCACCCTGACTTAGAAGGTAATTTAATGCAATAAATATTACTTTGAATTTGATTACGCACAATGCATAATCCCTTTACAAAGTACGTTCCCTTTTTTAAAAAAATCTATGATTTTTTATTAAGCAATTGAGGTATTAATTTCTGTATTTCGTTCGAGTTATGCAATTTTTGTCATTTGACAGATGCGGAGAGATCTCCAGCACTGGGACAGTGCTCTGCAACTAGCTAAGCGTCTGGCTCCTGACCAAATCCCTTTCATCTCCAAAGAGTATGCAATTCAGCTGGAGTTCACGTACGTTAAAAGGAAACTTTATTTTGTGCTGGAAAAATCTCTGAAATGCTAATTATTTTTCTCCCCAAGATCAAACTGATACAGAAAGCATAAAACGTTGGAATTTTACTTTGAGATTTCTAGCTTTTATGATGACCATTTAATTAATTGCCTTCACTGATCAGAAACATCTTATACTTTTCCTGTACTAAACTTTGCCAGGTTATATTTTAGTATTGGGTTTGTTAGTTCTCAAAATGTCATTATACAGTGTATGTGTGTATATATATATATGCGTATATGCATATCCTTATATATATTTAGCATAAGGCAGCTAAATTGGTTTGGCCTTCCCAGGGTTAGGGAGGTGACAGGGTTTACTAGTCCTGGTCCTGTGTGTGAGAACCGGGTAGAAGTGAAGTGAAACAGTGATGCCTCCTACATTCAAATGGCCTGCCAACACTCACATAGGGATGAGTGGGGTTCCCTAGGACAACCAGAGCCAGTGGAGCAGCACACCAGCTTGAGGAGGCTGGGACAAGAAATAGAGGCAAATGCCAGTGGGGAGAAAATTAGACATCCTTAATTTTTTCAAAATAATATCAAAAATAATCATTGCATTGAAGGGCTCTCATTGAAAGGGTAAAATGCAGGGCAGTGCAGTATTATTTCATGCTTGTCACAGTGACTCTGTTTTCCAGGGGTGACTACATGAATGCATTGGCACATTATGAGAAGGGAATGACTGGAGATAATAAGGTAACACATAATAGAAAAATTGTAGCTCTTAATGAAATAATAAAGCCATTATGTGATTACATTGATGTGTTTTGAACACTAACGTTTTGTTTTATATTGAAATGAACTCCTCAGCCAATTTTAAACCAGAAATATCATTGAATCATTGAAGTACTGAACAATCAGCTTAATCTAATCAATATGTCATATTCTGAGTTGATTTTGAAGGTCAGGAGAATTTTTTAAAATATTGATTTGGAACTGATTAGATACGTTCAAAGTTTACGTAAGAATTTGGGGCTGTCTGCTTTTTGGATTCTATATTCTGTTGCTTTTCTGGTGTATTGACGTCCTGTATATTTAATTTGAAAAGAGAAGGGAGTTTCTCTCAGTGCCCTGGTCGACATTCCCAATCTGCCTAATAACATTGGTCATTCATGCCAGGGCTGTTTGTACAATATATGTTAATGGCACATTGCTGTGTGCAAATTGGCTTCCACGTTTGACTACAAAAATACAGTCAATTCACTTTACATCCTGAATCCTGACTTTGAGACGTCTCCCTGTCATGAAAGGCACTAAAGGATTATTGTTTATTTTATTGTTTGTTGGGTTCTATTTTTCAATGGCATTTAGTGGATATGTTAATGATTTACATCTTTGTATTTTTAACTCATTGTATGTGTGTGCTTCAGACTATTCCTTATTTGGTTCTTGTGGAAAGTGAAACATTATAGTGAAATAGATTGTTACTGAACAAGAGTAGTCCATTGGGAAAGATTTTTACTTAATCGCCAACCGCACCACCATGTAAAGCAGAGATAAGTAAATGGTGTGCTTTTATCTATATCTGGACGTTTTATACTGGGCCTCCAAAGAGTTTAACTGAGATTTGTGTAAACTGACCTTAGTTACACTTTTCATTTATTTGCATTTTGTTTGTATGGTGAAAATGATTAATGTGTTCAGAAATGTTGTGAATTGTTCATGTCAGAGTACATTATATATCAAGATTCCTGGACAAACAATTGCATTGTATTTAAAGGATAAGCTAAATATTAAAGTATGTTCAATGTAAAAAGCTCCCAAATCAGTTTGGTTAAAAATAAATGGAAATAATCCCTCCTATTTTAGGATAAATATGTTATCCTATTCCTTCAGAATCACTCTTCTGGAACTCAGATTAGACACAATATTGCTTTGTCAGTTGCTATTAATAATACGTTTAGACATTAAGTGACTCCATATGATGTAGCCTACAACATATTTTTTTTCAGTTCTACATGGCAGCAGGCAGTTTTCCATTCTGGAATTTAAACATTTCCTAACAAGATGGGGTAGGGTTTTGTCCTACACTGAAAGTACTTCTCGACCACATACCAACCCTTACAGTTATTTCTAAATGCCTTTGGCAAATTGTTGCAATGTGGACCTTAGACACTCCAAAGCCCCACCAAATTTAATGACATAGCCTGTTGCTTGCAAAACTGTTTCCTTTTCATTGTTTCTTGCCACCTGAATATTAACACTTTACAATAATAAGTAGAGTCCCATAACTCAGCGGTTAGAGCACTCGCCTCACAAGCGAGAGACCTGGGTTCGATTCCTGACCGGGCAAAACGTTGGGCAAGTTTCCTTACTCTACACACCTCTGTTTACCTAGCAGTAAGTAGGAACCCAGTTGTTAGTTGATTGACGCATTGCTTTTCCAGAGGTAATAATTCTTTCAAAAATAAATTGATTACTTCAATCCAGGACTGTTTGTGGGACACTGATGTGCGCAATTGGCTGCCGCGTTTCGCCCAAAAAATATACAGTTAATTCACTTTAAGTTATATTATAATAGTAATAATCCTTGCATTTGACATAGCGCCTTATAACGTCTTCTAGACGTCTCAAAGCGCTTCACAGAATATACTGTGTCATGTCATTCAACACTAAAGTTCCCCTCTGCTCCTGAAGCTATCAGTGCTGTCACTACCATCTTGATATTTGGATCCCCAGAGCCCTCTCAAAGTGCCACCTATTGAGACAGATTTTTATTAAAACTGAACAAAACCGACTTCTTTTTGAGTAATGAATTTTTGAAGCCAAAATCCCTTTCACTCCACCATTTTCCCAAGTCCTCAGGGAGGGAAGGGTAAAACTTCTTTATACTAACTATGGTTGAGTTAGAAGAAATCGCAATTCTAAACCTCTATTCCTGTCAACCTTTGCCACTATATTCCTAATTCTTAAATTTACAACTCTTGTGCATTATGAAGTTTGAGTGATCATTGCTGATTTAAACATTAGTACAGGTTCTGTGACTAATATGTATATCTGCAAAATTACATCCAGTAATTTAATTAGATTCTCTTCTATATGTTTTTCTAAATGTGTTTTCTTTCTACTCAGTACCTTGATCATGATGAAGCTTGTTTCGCTGGAGTTGCACGAATGTCAATACGAATAGGTGATATCCGACGTGGCGTCAACCAGGCAATTAAACACCCCAGCAGAGTACTAAAGAAAGACTGTGGTGCCATTCTAGAGACCATGAAGGTATATGTGTCTCAATCTCAGTCAAAACTAATAGAGACAGAGGAATGAAATGTCTTGTAATCAATCTCTAAACCAGTTAATCTAGTTAACCCCAATGTTATGAAGCAGATTCCATCATCTCGTGTCACTTCTCAAAAATGTTTCTAATGCAGAACTTTACAGAGAGCGTCTGTTTTTGTTTTGGTCCAATAGATATCTGACACATGATAAAGAATTTTCAAATCAAACTACTGAGAATTTCACATATGAATGGAGTCTGTTTGTTCGGTGTGGCACTCTCCCCAGTAGGATGCACTGTGTTTATGTAATTCTGGATTATTAGCTGCAATTTGGCAATATTGTAAATTTAAGGACCTCAGAGTGTATATTGGTGTGCTGCTGGAGTTTTACCAGCAAAAATGCAATGGCTGTTTGTGCACAAGTTGTCTGTTGCTTTCAAAAATATATAGGCACTTCATTTTGCAGCAGTTGAGTACCTTTGGCATTACAGACACTATATCAAATTCAAGGATTATTTTATTATTAAACCATGCAGTCTACCATTGCAGAGAACCAGTAATATTCCCATTGCTTGTCCAAATAGGACCATCCTACCCATTAAGACTTTGGCTTCCAGAGGTATCAGGAACAGAGTGGGAAGAATCCAAGCTGATTGTGATGTGGAGTCCTGTAGCTCAGTGGTTAGAGCGCTCACCTCGCAAGCGAGAGACCTGGGTTTCCCAGCAGGGCTAAACCATGGGCAAGTTTCCTTACTCCACACATCTGATAATAATCCCTCAAGAAAAAAAAACAATAATAAATTGGTCACTTCAATCCACAACTGTTTGTGGGACACTGCTGTGCACAATTGGCTGCCGCATTTCGCCCACAAAATAGTCAATTCACTTTACAGTATATTCTGTGAAGCACTTTGAGACGTCTAGAAGACATGAAAAGCGCTCTATCAAATGCAAGGATTATTATTATTATTATTGCTCCTCTGCCAATGCGCCAGGCTGGCTAGATGTTTTCTAACAGTACCTTGGAGTACTGGGAACCTGCTTGTCTTAGGAACTGGAGTCCCTTGATTATGATCTTACATTGGCAGGCATTTCATCTTGAAGTCAACTCAGAATATATCAACAAGATGATTGGTCTCATAAGGACAAGAAATTGCACTTCCTTATAATTACTCCACATTCCCTTTACAATTATGAGACAGAGTTAAAATAGAGTTCAGCAGGATTTACACAACACTAATTTTCAATAAACATTGAAATCTTAATGTGACTGTATTCTATGTTTGTACCTCACAGCAATTCTCTGAGGCTGCCCAGCTATACGAGAAGGGACAGTACTGTGACAAAGCAGCATCTGTTTACATTCGTTGTAAAAACTGGTAAGTCGGTTTTTGGTTTTTTTTCATGAAAAATCTAATCAACATGTGTGACATTTAGGTTTAACAGAACCTTAGAAATAAATTGACCTGTTTCCACTTTTGTCATACTGAAGGAGTGACATTAAATATCCTTCTCATTCATTTACATAGTAACATAGGGATTAAAACGTTAGTTTTTCCAAATGTATTCCCTCCTTTATTTCATGAACATTATTAGATGTGTTTTTAAAAAATGTTGCTCCCCAACCCATACCTGGTAACACCTAAACCTGACTGAAAAGTCCAGTGGGCTATCACCTTATTCTTGCTTATTGAAGATAATACAGTAATCCTTGCATTTGACATGCAGTAAACTCCTGATAACTCGTCAGTCCAAGCGGAAGGACTCAGTGATGAATTGTCCAGAGTGCAAATTAGACATATGTATAAATACATAAATACGACCGGAATATTGACAGCAAAATGTCTTAAGTGTAGTGACAGTTCAGTTAGGGTCAACTTATCAGCAGTTTATTGTAGCACCTTCCATGTTGGGAAGATGTCTCAAAGTGCATTACAGGATTTACTAAAAAGATAATCTTTGAGTGGTAAAAAATACTTTGAGTTTATTTGGATAACTTTGGAAAGGCACCCAAAAGTAATCCCTACAATGCAGAAATATAATGACAGCACAATATTTATATTCTTTCTCCCTTTCCTTCCTTTCTAAAATCCGTTTAATACAGAACATTCAGAATATTGCAACGTATTCATTTTATTTGACGGTTGACAGTTGATTGTTTGGGCTTAAAGAAACACTCAATGTAGTTAGTGCTGTGGAATATGTGAGGGAAATGCACTACAGTTCCAACAAATATCAATTTATTTTTTCAATCCAGGGCAAAGGTTGGAGAACTTCTCCCTCATGTAACATCACCCAAGATTCACTTGCAATATGCAAAGGCCAAGGAAGCTGATAACAGGTACAGTGCATGTACAGCAAGAATGTAGTTACTGAAGCTAATAATGTGTAAAGATCTGGCAGGTTTGGAATTCTTTTTCATCTCATCCTCATTCCAGATTTGAATTAATAATAATAATCTTTGCATTTGATATAGCGCCTTATCACGTCCTCAAGAGATGTCTCAAAGCACTTCACGGAATATACTGTAAAGTGTAGTGACTGTATATTTTGTGGGTGAAATTAATACTTCACCTTTTGGTCTGATATGTCTAATATTCTCCATTTTGTAAAATGATTTGGTTCAGTGATAAAAAGAACATTTTCAAAAATGATTATTGAAGCTTGATATTATGATATTATAGATATCACATACCTCTCATAATATTTTAAATTATCTTTCTAAAACGGCTCTAGAAATAAATATTAATACAGTGGTTGAAAAGAAAATGTCTGCTGGAGCTTTTTTCCACCGAACATTCTTCCATTTTACAGGGGGTAGTATCCCAGAGCGCTAGATTTACTTTCTAAAGCAAATCTGTACAATGTCCTTAAATTATTTGCACTCATTCGGCCATTTTGATTCACTATACAACAATACTGTGTTAAGTAAATGTAAAATGGTGCCATTTTAGTTAAAGATTGCTTAATTTTATCGATAGATGAAAGTTTGACCTTCGCCCCTCAGTATAGTATTTGGTTTTGCACAGAAAAAGATAAGATGGCATGACTGTGGTCAACAGTTAATCAATAGTGCCATTGAATGCTGTTTACTAAACATTTATGATCGTAGTGGTCTAAGGTAGTATGCTCATAAAGAAATAATTTGAAGATCACATTTCTCATAACCGTTTGTAGGAGAAAATTTGCAGGAAACCACTAAATGTTTTCAATATTTTCTATTCCATGTTCATTTTGTAGTTATCACCTTTATCCTTTAATTCTACTTAACTTGCTTTGCTTCCATTAGTTTGCATTTGTCTCTATTCACTTTATTACATGCAATCTAAAGAAAAGATAAGGACTTTATCTTTAATTAGCAGGATTGGTTTCGTTGGCATCCAGATGCCCTCCAAAATTTAGTATTCATTGATTTTAAACTGCTAAAAGTAGTTCTGAATACGTCAATGCTTTCTGTGCAAACTAACATGGCGACAATAAAAAAAGTCGTACACGAGTATTCTTGCCAAAATAATGTAAGTATAATATAATAAAATAATAATCCTTTTATTTGATATAGCACCTCATCATATCACCTAACTGTCTCAAAATTTTTCTTTTTAAAAAATTTACTGTGGAGTATAGTGACTGTATTTGTGTAGTTTCTACCCAGAAAATGTCACTTGTATCCTACTTCTACTGAGTTGACTCAATTTGTGTGAGAAACCTTTTAGTCCAAAACGTTCCAGGTTCGATCCTCACTTTCTGACTTGGTGGCAGATCAATGTGTCATTGTTTGATAATCCAGCACCTTTGTATTGTGAATGTTTTCTAGATATAAGGAAGCTGCGATTGCTTATGAAAATGCAAAGGACTGGGACAATGTGATTCGAATTCAGTTGGATCATCTGAATAATCCAGAGGAGGCTGTTCGTATCATCCGGGAAACACAGTCAATTGATGGAGCCAAAATGGTGGCTAGGTAGACGGCTTAATTTATTTCTGTGTAAATTACCTGTATATCTGCAAACGTAATAGCATATAGACATTTAGGACAGTTGAATATAAAAAACATTGAAGGTCACACAAATCAAACCAGCTGCTGCATCGAATCAACAGCTAGTGTTGGAACATCTAATTCCAAATGTGTGTGACTAGTTATATAACAGCATCCTACCTCAAACACAAGCTCAGAGAACGCCATAAAGATATGTATATGAGTATTGTGATATAAATCTGCTGTTTCTCTGTAAAGAGGTTTTTTTTCTTTTTCTTTAGATTTTTCTTGCGTCTTGGTGACTATGGCTCTGCCATTCAGTTTTTGGTCATGTCAAAGTGTAACGATGAGGCCTTTCAGCTGGCACAGCAACATAATCAAATGGAGGTTTACGCTGACATCATTGGTAAATTCAATTTGAGGAGAGGTGGTGTTTGGGTTGAAAGTTACCAGGGCTGACATTGATAGAACATGGATAACACTGACAGTAGTAATATCACCTGGATAAGGCTGAAGGTGATAGAACCTGGACAAGATTTGGGTTTGTATTCCCAGCATTGCTTAGTGAAAATCTCACTGCAGTTTTTCAGTCAGTTTAGAAGATACATTTTTAGACATCTCTCAAATTAACAGTGGACTCTGGATGCCAAACAAATTACAGAAAGAAGGAGTTTAACAATTAGAAATAAAGAAAAAACAATGTAAGAAACTAGAATTACTTACATTAGATGGAGAAAACAAAAATAGAAAAGAATGGCATAAAAAAAAGGCATAAAAGACCAAGCTAGCTGCAGTAAAATTTATGTTTTAGCTGATTATTTTTGGACTATAAGGCTAATAATAAACCAATTCCTAATATTTTATATTTGTTTAGAGTTCTAGACTGAGAAGTGAAATTTCCTAGAACTGATTGTCAGTCTGAGATGAACAAAAAATTTCTCCAATACCATTTGAACTTGGAAACCTTTCAGAAGATGTTTCAGATGGACCAATAAACGTTTGTAGACTGCAGTCTATATCTTGTGAGTCTAATCAACTCAGGGATAGAGTGCAAATCAGTAGGCACTTTGAATCAGTTGTTAGGACTCTGTCTTTGCCAGAAAAGTTCGAAGACCATAATGGGACTTGAGCTCGTAGAGTAAATTGACTCTAGTGCAATACTGGAGAGAGTGAGTGCTTGGTTGGAGGTGCTGACTTTACATGAGACGCTAAACTGAAGTCCCAACTGTCTATTTTCAAGTGAAGTCAGATGGGGTCAAAGATCCCATGACAATGTTCTGGTCCACAATTCTCCGTGTCAGTCGGTGGTCATTCACCTTGTGTGTGAGACCTTGCTGATTCAATGTATCCCATTTGCCTCCAAAAAAGTAACTACATCTGACAGCAATTACTTGTGAAAGATGTTGAGACATTTCAATATGATGAGATATTGTAAAAACACAATTTTTTTCTTTATTGTTATACACTATATTGATCAGACTCTCATTATTGAGTGAATTTCTATTCTTAGGAGTAATATGGAGAACAATTAATTGAGAGAGAATTTTTGAGGTTATTCACAACTTTCTGACTTGAGGGTAAGCAGAGTGCTACCAACCGCTAAACATTTTTATATTGCATGTGCTTTTTTGCAGGTTCTGGTGCCACCAATGAAGACTATCAAAGCATTGCATTATACTTTGAAGGAGAGAGAAAGCATTTCATGGCTGGAAAATTCTTCATGCTTTGTGGCCAGTATCCGCGAGTAAGTGTCCCAAAGGTGTATACAGCTGCTCCTTAATAAGTACAAAACTCTTATGTGCAACCAGGTTCGTGCGGCATAAATACCTATAATAAATGGTTTTGGAACATGCTGCAATTTGGGGANTTTTTTTCAAATATTACTTCTTTGTTGATATTACTTGATTTAACAGTTGAAGAGTTCCAGGTTGTACCAGATTCTTGAATTCAAAATCAAAGATTTGAAGCGAATAATTGTTTCATTTTAAACTATATTCAGAGCAGCTCTGTTACAACGCGTTTCGTTATAGCATTTATAACACAAACGGATGTTGACCCAATTCACTGCGTGTGTGTCTCTTTAGGTGGCAGGCTCACTTCCTGCGCACCAGCCATCTCCTCTCTGTGCGGCATGCAGCAAGTGACATCAGCAGTGACCTAATGACGCAGTTGTCAGGCTTTTTTGAGATGTGCAGGAAGTGAGCTGACCAGAAGCGATTATGGCTTCATTAAAGAGTAGGTTGGGACTTTATGGAGCCCCAACTACAACCTTATCACAAAGCTCCACAGTAGAATTATATGTAGGGATCCGACAAAAAATGTGCAGATAAAAGTGGACTTTGAGCTTCAGTATGAATACAGTATAATGCATGTATTTCAGTTCAGTTTTTTTTCAATAAGAATTAATCAGCTATACACGCATTTATTATCTGGAGAGTTGCGTCAGTTTACAGTAGTTCTTATTTTTTTAAATTGAAATCTACATTCAACAATAGACCAATAACCGTTAATCTGGACAGTACTCTAAATGTCACTTTTTGGTTCAACAGGCTTTGAAGCACTTCTTGAAATGTCCAGTCACAGAAGATGGTCAAGCCATTGAGATGGCAATTGAAGGGGTAAGAGCCAAATTTCTGTTGCCTTTGAAGCTTTATCCATGCAACAAAACTCTGGGGCTGCAGCTCCTAGTTTGAATCAAGCTGGCAAACCATTTAGTTGTTCAGGGAGGAAGGGTCCACATACACAAACATATTTTCTTCTTTAAAAAGTTTATTGGATTTCCTACCTTTTATTCTTACATTTATAATTTCTTGTATTTTGATTAATTTTTAAAGGATCTTTTCATTGTTTTCTTAATGTATTTTAATACTGCATGTAAACATATTGTTGGTCAAGTGCACGAGAGATAGAAACATTTCATTGTCTTTTTTAAAATGTTAAACTTTTTTTTATTTAATCTCGCTGCTGTGAGAAGATGAAAAATATAAATACAAGAATCTGGCAAACATACATGTGAAAATTTCACATGTTTTCTCAATAATTTTACTCAGCTAAGTAAAAGTGCCCATCAAAGTGGAAAATTGTAGCATAAACCTAGGCCACTTGTAATAACTGATGTCGTAACATGCACACGTATTTAAAATGCTCATGCAGGTTATTACGTTTAGGACTTTCTCACAATCTAGTAACGCAAATGTGACCATCTACCTTTAAGAAGCCACAATATTGGGTGTTGGTGGATGATAACTGTGACTACTGAGCTCAGATACTATATGATAAGTTCTTCTTTCCTATGAAAACAATCCCCTGAGAAAGAATAGATTGCATGTTCTCTCAGCCTTTAGCAAGGGAAGTAAACAGAGAATTTATATTAAGGGGTCATTGCAATGTGCTTCATTTGATGAATTAATCCAATTATGAAGATTGATATTGTAACTTTTTATAACTTAATCTTTCTTAGGTTGGGCAGGCCAAAGATGAAACTCTAACCAATCAGCTGATAGATTATCTCATGGGTGAAAGTGATGGAATGCCCAAGGTAATTATGACTTTTCAAAAAATATTTTAATATGTTTAGAGTAATTGAAATGTTTTTGTTAGAGTAAATGGGAAGAGATTATTTCCATTGATAGGGGAGTCGATAACTGGGGTACACAGCCACAAGAATAGCGAAAGAAGAACTTAAGAGGAATTTTGTCACCCAGAGAGGAGTTGGGTGTTGAAGGCAAAGTCCATTGTAGCTTTAAGAAGTAAGTAAATAGGCATATAAAAGAGAGGACCTTAAAGTGGTGGGTGGATAAGGCAAGGTGATGGGACTGAAGTGATCTCCTTGCTCTGTGAACTGGTAGAGACTCGATGAGCCAAATGGCCTCCTTCTGCATTGTAGATTTCTGTGTTTTTATGCAATTCTTCCTCCAGAGCCCTTGGATTGTTAGTTTCAAGTTTTCAAGACTCCATTAGATATCTACCATATGGCAGTCAGTTTAATTGTTATACGTTTGCAGTATTAATGCTAATCATTTATTTTCCCCGAGTTACATAATTCTATGTAATAAAGGTTAACAAATATTACTTTGCGTAAGTCTTTAACACTTTTTCTACCATCTCTAGTTAATTTTTTGTTTCGGAGCCTGATAAAAAATAACTGTCTCTAGCCTGACACAAAATTAGTACCTCTAGCCTCTGGTTCTTAAACTACTAAGAACAGTAGCACAACAAAACAACAGAAATTGAATGAAAACTCCCCTCTGGCCGCTCCTCTCACGACTCAGTTGATTAAAGCATTGTCTTAGAGTGTAACTGAGCCATCAAATCTGGAAGATGAATTAGCTGACTTCATCTGGAATGGTGGGGACGTGGCTCCAATCAATCTAAGTAACTCAGCCCGGGCGACTACCTTCTAATTACTGAGCGAGGACCCCTCCTAAACCTTTGTGTTGTGGGTATTTAAGGTCTAGCACAGATAAGTTGTTTCTGACACCTCCAATTGTATAACCTGCCTGTGCTTACTGTCTAAACACCCACATAATAGGTGGCCATCTGGTAAAGGAACCAGAGGGTGATAGATGTCTGTGAAATCACATCCAAGCATGAGCTACAGAAGAGATGTAAACATTCCTATTATAGGAGTTAGTGTTCCATTTTAAAAGACACATTTTCAATCAGAGAAATTAATTTATACCTTTTTTAAATTATATGCCTTATACTAATATGACTCCAGTTGTCTTTTCATAGTCACAAAGTGGTTGAATACTATTCTGACTTCAGTCCAAATAGGAAACTTCAACTTTAATAATTTATATAAAACTTGTAACCCTTTACATTACTGTAGATGTGGTTCCTTGTGTTATAGAAATCCATTTACAGTTTGTGAATCAAACTCACACTAACAGCATTATTCTGATTTTCAATGTATTTTATTTGTTCTTCTGAATGCGCCTCTTCTTCATATCATGCTGATCTCTCATGGGTCTCTTTCTGTTAGTAAACAAGGGTTTGACTTATGCTCCAAACATCATTCTTCCCAAATAATAGAAGTGTTCACACCTGTACTATGATGCCTTTAGGTGAATGAAATGTTCAAGAGGCTTTTTGGTTACTTTGCGTAATCGGCGACTTCAATTAGGAATTTAGAATATGAAACCTATGAAAAAGTCTTGTTTTATTACCAATATAGAGGAATTGGGGCAAATATATGGTCTGCAGTTTTAACATAGTTTGTCACAACTGTTTAATAAACATTTCTTGGATTGCTACATTGGTAATGCTAAAAAGTCTTTTATGAATTTTGGAAACTGAGCATTCTGTTACACTTTTCAGTGCGCAGAATTGAAAGAAAAAATTGACATAATTTATGAAGTTTTAGTCATAAATACATTAATGTTAGCACCAGTTTTTATTTGTAATTATGTTATATAAGCAGTATTATTGACATAATTCAAAATCTTTGGCTTTGGTAGAAGAGATGGCAGGACATGTTTTAGCTCAAATATATGTTCTTGAACATTCTGGTTCAGCTTCTTGTAAGGAGAGAAATACATATTGGACCAAAGAATGTGATTTGCTTGATCAAAAAAAACTATTATGTGAATTTACTAATAATAATAATCCCTGCATTTGATATAAATGCAAGTTGTTATATAGCACCTTATCATGTCTTCGAGACGTGTCAAAGCACATCACAACATATACAGTAAAGTGAATTTACCCACAACTATGGTTGGAATACAAATTGAAAAGTAAACTAAATTTGTTACCCTCTTCCCTCTCATGTAGGATGCAAAGTATCTTTTCCGGCTATACATGGCATTGAAGCAGTATAGAGAGGCTGCCAGGACAGCCATTATTATCGCCAGAGAAGAGCAGTCTGCAGGTAATGATCAAAGGAGCAATCAATTTGTTTTCTCGTAGAGCAAACCCTTTATAGGATACATTTTACTAGTGAACTTTTCAAAATTAAATCATTACATACTCCAGTTTTTATTTCTGCAACTATTATATTTATTATTATTATTATCAGCCCAACATTCTTACTTTTCTCAACATTATAAATGTTTACTCCTTTGTCTTCACTTCTCAAAATAGAAGTGGAGATTACTTTTTTTCTGGGGTACAGTTGACAAGGTTGTATCCATCTGTAAAGCTGGATAGGGAATGATAAGGGATCCATAATTTGACTGCAAGAGGGAAATCAAACCAGACTGGTCATGTTCTCATCCAATCCAATATCTGAACAGGTGCACTTTCCACACGAGTCACTCAATAACGATCAGTGACACTCTTATTTTTACGCTTAAGAATATTGTCTTAAATCGACGATTGTCTTAAGCCTAACAACGAGAGCTTTGGAAAGTAGTATTAAACTTAATCAGAAACCCGATTTTCTGTACTTTTTTTTTGTACTTCCCCTAGGATGGGGCTGAATGGCTAGTACCATGTATAGGTGTATATTGGGGGGGTGGGGGTAATCAGGAGTAAATGTGATGGGCCTCTGAACTTTGTTTTTGCTACTTGCTCCTTCCCATCTACTTATGTGAAAAATTATCCAAACAAAATGATCCATCAAGTAGGTCAAAGTCCCTCCTACATTCAACTCATCCAATCATTTTACTAGGAAACAAGCATCACACACTGCAATAATCTTTTATTGTGGACATTAACAATTTTAAATATATATAACAGATATTTAAAGAACCATTGTTTAACCATATATATAGAGCCATATATGTGGCTGTAAAATATTTCTTTAAATACCTGGTTTTATATGTTTAAAATACATTGTGTATTTTGGCATACAATGACATTTGGACTAAGGTGCGATAATAATCTGTATATATTATCTCGCCACTGGTCACAGAATAGTTTGGTTCTTTCAAAGTAAGAGGAGCCACCACAGCTAAAGTTGGATTCATTTTAGAACAAAACTAAATATTCCGGATACGGCTGCACCGTAGCTGGCCTAGAGCTGGAATCCTATTGGAAATGTAATGGTCAAAGAGTAAACCGAGTGAGGTATCCGTGCAGATAGTCCAGTTCAGGGACTGCAATGATTGTTTTCTTTGTATCCAGGAAACTACCGGAATGCTCACGACGTGTTGTTCAGTATGTATACAGAGCTCAGAGCACAGAAAATCAAAATCCCCTCAGAAATGGCGACAAATCTTATGATTCTGCATAGCTACATACTGGTGAAGGTAAGAAGCTTGGGTTTTCTGTTAGCACAAAGAGTTTTATTCTATAATGAAGATATACTGGTGGGATAAAGCATAAGCATTAGTATATGACTGTGGGTCACTACACATGCATAGTAGCGTGTTCCTTTTTGATCATGCCTTCACAATTCACCACATTTTGCACCAACAAGACTGACCTGAACTGGACTAATTTACTCAGCTTTTTACATTATGCTGCCCCAAGAAGAGCACAGAATTAGCTCAGAATGATTGGCCAAGATTTGCTTTTAGAAATTATAGGGTAAAGTTTAGGATGTTTTAAAGCATTATGGGATAAAATGTGTTCTATTCTTTAAATTAGCGTGAAAGTTTTTTAGTTATTTTTTGCTAGATCATTACAGAAGTAGCCAAGCAGAGGTCCAGGTATTGATTATGAAATAAATGCATGTTGTCCCATGTTAAAAAGTAACTTTTTACCAATCAATGGCTTGGTCCAAGACTTTCGGGGGCACTCTCTTAAAAAGTTCATTTATGGCAAGGAACCATGTTGTGTAACTTTTGCCCCTCCTTGTCAGATAAACAGCAGAAGAAAAATATTAAATCAACAAAATGACTTTAAAAAAAGCTCTAGGGCCCAAAATTTACATTTACACTTACATCTGCTTCAGCGCTAACAAAGTTGGTGACAATCCAGGTCTGAAAAGAAACATATCATTTCTTGTGAGCTGTGAACAACGATTTGACAAGCTAGGACTCTTCAGTCGTGAGAGAAGATGATGCAGAATGGACCTCATAGATGCGTATAACATTTTAAATAGGATTGAAAAAGTAAACCCAGAACAATACTTTAGAATGCACCAAGACAGTAGAACAAGAGGACAGGTTTAAAGTTGTAAGGGGCAATTTCAGAATAGATACCAAGACATTTTTCTTTACTTACAGGGTAATCAACAACTGAAACATGTTGCCAGGAAGGGTGGCTGAGGCCAGAACATTTAAAATACAACTTAATGTTTTAATATTTTTCCAAGTATCAACTCCAGTTGGAAACATGAGAATAAAGAAACCATACAGAGCAAGCATTTTCTTCCTCCTTAGATATGCACGTAGAGGATATTCAATAATTAACACCTTTTTTACTGAAAAAGAATTCAAGAGCTGATTCCTTATATTTTAGTACACTTGCTATCCCTTCCAGCACATATTTTGGAATAGTCATTTGAACAGTCAATAGATAGCACAACAATAAGTACAGAACGGTAGTGTTAAGAATGTTTTTCATTCCTTAAAATATTGCAATATTTGTTTCTTTTTCTTTGTTCCTTCCAGACTCATGTGAAACGTGGAGATCACATGAAAGGGGCAAGAATGCTCATCCGAGTTGCAAACAACATCAGCAAATTCCCATCACGTAAGCATCTAAAGTGAATCTTGGGATTATAGCAACAGTCCAGTAGAATATTACAGCACAGAAACCGTCCATTTGGTCCATCAAATTTACACATTTTTACAACACCTAACCCCAATCTCCCAATCTTTAGAAATACTCTTTTTCAAGCATCTATATAATTCCCTTTGAAAATAATTTATGGACTTTACTTCAACAACATGTCAAAAGATTTTAATTATTTTTCACAAAAAGTTATCTTTTACGATAAACTGTCATGAATCAAAATCTCATTCTTTGCACAGGTATTCCTCAATTCAGCATTCCCCTCTTCATCTAATGGCTGTTTCTAAAACGTGTTGTAATGTTTCACATTAGTGATTCCACCACTTAATTGTGGAATTAAGCTCCAGGTCCATACTTGAACTCCTAGTCTAGACTCACAGTGTAGTATAGTACTGGTGAACCACTGTATTATCAAAAATACCATCTTTCAGATAAGATTTTAGACCAAGGTCCCATCTGCCTCGAGGTGGATGTTTAAAATACAAATTTGAAATGGGAGGCAATTTCCATAGGTGTTCTGGTCAACAGTCATCCAAATCCTTACTGTCTGCAAAATGGCTGCTGCATTGGCTTAAAATAATAGTTATAGGCTTGGCAGTAATTAAACAAGTGAAGCACTTTGAGATGTTTCAGCATAAGGTGCTATAAATACGCAAGTTCTTTCTTTTCCTTCTTCATTGAAACACTTACAGCAGGTTTAAAAATTTTCTCTCCCGGTTGTTCATTGCTGCTATTTACATCTTTTTGTCAGACATTGTGCCTATTCTGACGTCAACAGTGATTGAATGTCATCGAGCCGGACTAAAGAACTCCGCCTTCAGTTTTGCTGCTATGCTGATGAGACCAGAGTATAGAAACAAAATTGATCTCAAGTATAAGAAGAAAATAGAAGCAATGGTTAGGTAAGTGGCAGTTTTTAACGGAACACCTGTATTGTATTCAATTTTTATTCAATTATTATTTTGTAATTAACTTTATTATTTAATGGAGCTCCTCTGTTATCTTTTTGTGTTAAACCTTCATCTGTCGTGCAATTCATGCTGCTAAGAGAATTAGTTCTCGAATATTTTCAGACCATACTTAGCAAAAATCTCTCCATAGTAGGAAATAACTTTATATCATTATGTTTAAGGAAATCATCACATGTAATCTGTTTTACTCTAACCTTGTGTTATAAATAAAACAAAATGTATAATAATAATACTTGCATTTGAAATAGCACCTGATCATGTTGTTGAGACTCTCTGCCCCACTATCGGCGGCCGTGCTTTCAGCCATTGCGCTCTGAAGCTGTGGAACTCTCTCCCTCAATCCCTTCGCCTTGTCCCCTCTACCTCCCCATTTTCAGATCACGCTTGAAGACCTTCCTCTTTGACCATGCCTACAGTCACCTTCCCCCTCCCCCTGGCTCGGCATTGGGTATGGCACTGTGAAGCCCTCCGAGACCCTGTCCGGCATGAAGGGCGCTATATAAATGCAAGTTGTTGTTGCGACGTCTCAAAGCGCTTCACAGAATATACTGTAAAGTGAATCGACTGTATATTTTGTAAGCAAAATATAAAAATCTGACTAATCTTTGCCAGGCGTCCTGACACATCAGAGGTAGAAGAGTCGACCTCGCCATGTCCATATTGTGCTTTTCACCTGCCAGAGTGTGAACTACTTTGTCCAGGCTGTAAGAACAACCTACCTTACTGTATTGTAACGGTGAGTGTCAGAAACTGCATCAATTTCACCAGTGCTTACCGTCCGGCTTACATAGCAGTGGCAAAATTGCTTCTAAATAAAATCTAAAACATCAGAATGTTCTGCAGGAATGTGCTGCGGTTTCAGTGTAAACGATGAAGATAATGAGGAGCACATTTCTTATCGCTGGTCTTCAGAATATTACAGAGAATATTAGTGGTAAATAGTATGCACTGAGTTAAATAACAATGTTTTACAAATCCTTGTGTTCTTTGAGGGTTCATATCATTCTTTGGTTTAACAAAACTCTGCTTATTTATGTATTAGCCAGTCTCCCTTCTCCCAGACTCCCAACATTGATCCAAATGTGCTGAGCAGAGGTCTGGGTCATTCAGTGTCCTGCGGGAAAGCTCCTGACCACTGCTTGATACTTCCCTGGGATGATTGGCTGAGATCACAAACTCATCATGTGGAGAAATGAATACAAGACCCACACACGACAGTGTGTCACAGTACTCTTCATTGTCCTTTGCCAGAGCTCCTGGGATGATACAAGCATAAGATTTCCTTGAAATACTGTGTGTCTTCTTTACAATGCTGCCAGCAAAACAGATTAGTTTTCAGAACAATTGTGGGCTGGGGTTTTTCTACTCTATCAAAACACTAAAGATCAAAATTGGTTTGAGACACTAATGATCCAGACCAATAGTAAAAGCCTACCAGCTCCACGGCAATCACTTGACAACCATCACTCAAGTATATCTGCTTCTCATTTCTCTAATGGAATGATAACAGCATACAAAGGTCCTATAAAGAAATTTGTACATATGAATCATTTAAAATAACAGGGACACAGCTCAAATAAGTGGAGTCGAATATGCCAGTAATTTGTAACAGGATTACTTAATAGTAACATTTTCAAGCTTAGAAATTAGTGAATCCATCTGTCTTATGACCAAACATTTATTAAAGTAAACCTAGAATGGGAAACTTTTTAAAATAATAAAATGTGGAAGGAAGATCAATTATGTCAAAATTCAATCTTTTTTTAAAGAATTTGAAGTGTTTTGTTTTTAGTTAGAAACTGATGTTTTGGGGCAGGGCCTTTTTAAACACAAGAGACGGGTAGACAGGTTGTATCCTGTCCAGCCTCCCCCCTCCCGCATCTGTCTTCATGCCGCTCCTCCTCTCAGCAAGCAACTGGCCTACTTCACATTTCCCCGTCCTGCCCGCCCCACCATTGATGGTTGAGCTTTCAGCCTATCTGCTCCCCACTCTCTGGAACTCCAGGAGTCCCCTCGCCTTTCAAGGTTTGTTTCAAGATCTTCCTCTTTGACCGTGCCTTTGATTATCTTCTCCCCCCACCTCCAATTCTTGGCTCCACCCATCTCGAATCCAGCCCCCAGCTTGGCTGCAAACTGTCCAGCCCATTTGGGACGTCCTCCCCATGTGAAAGGTGCTATATAAATCCAATTTGTTGTTTGAACAGAGAATTTTGAAACAAGTATATTTTTAAATGAAGGGCTTTAAAATGTACTTTTTGGATTTTTTTAAAAGACATGCCCCATGAAATATTTCCGTCTCTGGTCTACTATGATTTTTTTTCCGCTTCTGCATCAAGTAAAACTATTTCTAGGAGGATTTGTCACTGACAGTCGCATGAAATTAGCATTATTTTAAAGTACTGTTTGACCATAAAATAAAATAAATCCAGGTAGATTGCAGGTGTCATTTTGAGCTGGAAGAATGAAGTGTTTGGATCTGTTTTTCACCAGGGGCGTCACATGGTGAAAGAGGACTGGACCATTTGCCCACACTGTGATTTTCCAGGCTTGTATTCCGAGTTCAAAATGTGAGTAGAGGTGTAGGATTAATATGTTTTTTCGATTTATGATCAAATTACCAGTATAATACTCAAACCTGTTAAAGCAACCATCTCTCTCCAGCAACCACCTGCTGTCAACAACCCCCTTAGAGTAGTCCTGACTGATTTTCCATAATACACTGGTGGGCTGCTCAACACAGGCATTGTCATTGGCATCTAGTGGAGGTCTACATGTGGACTCACAGAAATTTTTGGCCCGTAGAAACACAGTAATGATTTGTATTTTGTAATTGATATTACTTTCTTAAAACTAGTTTGATTTATGGGCTTGTATGTGCACTGTATTTTTCTGTGCAATTAAAAATTCTACACACCAACGAACCCTTACGCAGAGGCCACCTTTACATAAAGGCCACTTTGGTTCAGTCCCTAGTGGTTGTTAAAAACAGGTTTGATTAAGTTATAACTTAAGTGTGGTTAAGAACAGTGGGGGTGATGTTGAGTTATTGCCTATCTGCACCAGGTTGATAGGGTAGTGGTTAGTGGGTGGACAGTTCTTGGGGAGAAATAGCAGTTCTTCCTCCATCCTGCAGTTACAGTATAGTCAGCAACAGCTTTAATATTTCACAACATTACAAAAGGTTTGGGTCATTTGATCTCATCCTTCCAGAATACTCACCCGTCTATCCCATTACAGTATCAAGCAATTTATTTTAATTGAGAAGCCGATTTTTCATTGAGAAGCTTAGAAAGTCAAATGATGTTAAAATTTCAGCCACCACTCATTCAATGCATTGTTTGTTGTATCACTAACAGTCTGCTCGAGACTGAGAAATCCTGTCCCATGTGCTCAGAAAAACTCAGTGCTGAGCAGCTGAAGAAAAACGCTGAGTTGGCTCCATTGTTGCTGCCAGATGAGATTGAATAGCGAGAGCAGGAAGAAGCCAAGGCAAAACATGAAAGGTACTGATCACCAGCATTTGCCATTTAGCTGCAATGTGTATATTTGAAGGTGAGGGAGGGAAAGAAATGTACAGTAAATCTCACATAAGGTGTATCAGCCGGGGCCATAACATTTAATAAGACTTATTAAATTTCACAATCCAAGTCGCAGGCAAACTGGTACAAATCCGGCATATTTTATCAGGGGACTTCGCTTGTTTGCCTCAGTTCTGATGCTGTTAATTGCACCAGTGGCAGTCCTGCCCTACTATTGGCATCAGACTTCCCTATTTGTTGTCTCCCCTGATCATTGCTTTCCCCAGCTTCACTCTCAACGGTAAAAAGCATCCACTGCCCATTCATGATTTTACACATTTCCCCTAAACCTGTGACTTTTACTAAATTTACCGTGACTGCTCTGTGATTTTTGAGAAATGCTATGACAAATCTGTAGCCCTACAGATGAGTCATTGTAAAAGTCATAGTTCATTTATCTGCCATCTTTGCTGTTACTAAACCAACTACTGTCCAGGGCAATGTTGTTGCGTAATGAAAGCTTAATAGCAGATTCTTCTTGTTCTGGAGCTCTTGACAATACAAAATTTTTAAAGCTATGTTGCATGAAATCTGAATCGTCCACAACTAAGAGCTGTCTGGGGGGGAAGAGTGAGAACTGTATACCACTTCACACCAGCTTGTAGTAAGCAACACAACAACATTCCCACTGGAGACTCCAAGTCATTCAAAATACACTCTTGCATATTACCAATCTTCACTTTCCAAAAGTTTGTTGCATTGAATGGTGCTAGCAAGTATAAGGCAATGTCAAACACCCAAACTTGTTGACACTTCTATTTAATGATATATACGTTTGGTTTGAAAAATAGTCTGGTGTAACAATGGGACTGCCACATCAGTGGCACACTTTGAGAAAGTGGAAGGTTTCCTGGCAGTTCCTGGCTATCTTATTGAATCATAATTTTAAAAACCTGTATGTAATATGAAGTCAAAATGTATTCAAGAATGAAGACAATAGAATGTTTTTTATAAACAAGCTTGAGCTATTTTATTGCAGAAAAGAGAAACCCAGGTCATCAAACATTATCAAAACACTGGATTTTGACCCAAAATATATTCATTCCAACCAACACATTGAAATTGAAGAGGGTTGTGTTTTTCCCTCTCCATGGGTAGTTTCCTATTAAGGTTGCTAGTAAGGTTGCTGGTGCAAACATAAATGAGCAAGAAGCTAATTAATTTTCCAGAATGCAGAATGTCTGTCAACTATTTGTAAACCTGGCATAAACATGTCCAGATCAGAAGCGCTGAGAACATAGCACTGAACACAAGAACAAGGTCATGTTACAATTGGGTGGTAGAGCTGGAGCAAAGTAGAGGCTTGTCCAGTGCTGTCCTGGATGCTGACTTAAGAACTTCAGTGGTTATTGGTTGTTTTGTGTGGTTTAGACTATTATGTTAGAAACCACAATACAATACTTATATATGATTTAGTGCCTTATCACATTGTTGAGCCCTCTCAAAGCATTTCCATAGAATATACTGTAAAGTGAATAGACTGTATTTTGTGTGTGAAATGCAGCAGCCAATACGCACAGCAGGGTCCCACAAAATCGAGTGACCAAATTATTTTTGAAGGGATTATTAATCAATGTCATTTTATCATTTTATTTACAGATCCAGAATTGGGAGGCTGCTGAGAGTTTTTATAAAGTGTTTCAGCAACAATGGAAATGATATTTACAACTTTAGTTTCACTTTTTTAAAAAACGTATGTTCTAAAAATGTAAATAATGTGTTCTTTTTCAACTGTTAAGTTTAAATGCTTTATATTATAAACTATAACTGGTTCAGGTTTGGAGAGCATCAGTGTTTTTTTTAAAAAACAATATATCTTCAGGTTATTTACAAATTAAAGGTGGAGCCAGAAGTTCAGAGCTTATTCTCCCTACAAATTCTCAACCACATCCAATCATTTCAAACATAATTATTCCAGTTCCACTTGGCAAAAATCAGATGTGACTTCACTGTACTTAATGGTAGCTTATTCCAAAGCTCAACTTTGGGAAATATTGCTTCCAACTCCTCTGTTTGAGGTGTACTAGCATTTTGAATGTATAGACAGTATGACCTTTTCAATACAGAGAACAGAAATACATATTCCATTGCAGTAATAGTGATTGTTTTTGCAGTTGAGGTGTTCCTTTGTGTTAAAGGCACAATCTAAATTACTTTAAAACAGACAAGAAACAGTGTTCTCTACATTGGTCACTCATAGTTCAAGCTATTTTTTCATGGTGATTACTGTCTCCAAAGATGAAGCAAACGATGAAGTAGGAGGAATCAGGGAGGAATAACGAAATTGCACAATATTTAGATGGCAACTTACCTCTGGTTACTCCCAACAGAATACCAGTATATCAGTTAAAGGCAAAAGCCTGGACCAGTGTAAAAGATCCTGAGAGATATTATGTGGGAGCTAGAGTATGGTTTCTTCTTCCACATACAATGTCCTGATACACAACATGAGTCAATCAAATTCATCTTCATGACGATGCTCTTGTGAATGCTGCTTCTCCAGGTCTGAGTCTGTCTGACCTGGGCACGAAAGAATGAACGACTTGGTATTGAACTGTACCCAGTGTCTCTACACTTAAATGAATTGAGCGTCACTTGTTTATAGTCAGGTTCACTTCCAAAGGAATTTCAACTCAAGCTGCTTTTCCCAGGATTGACTGCAATAGCATGTGAAGATTCAACAAACAAGGAAGAACAAAATTGACCAGTTGTTGAGCCGATCAGAGGAGGCATATTAACCTGACCTGCTGTTTTGATGCTGCTCTCAAAAAACATGCTGACGTTGTTAGTGAATGTATCAAAATTAACAAAAAAAAACTAACCAGAAGATGCAATAACTCCAAGCTCAGAATATTCAGTTAAGCGTTTCAACATGACAAAAATACTCCAATTCAGTCTCTCCTGCTCAGCAGAGTATTAAACCTATTTCAAAATGTCCCCATCCCCACTCCCAAAAAAGCACTCCAGCAAAACCTTAGGCATCTGCAAAACTTTCCCCAAAACATTAGCAGTTAAATAGAGCTAAGTTTTCCAGAAATTTTGAATGAGCAAAAATTAAATGCACCATAATTTTAAAACATTCTGAAATTCTACTATCCATCAAACCAAGAGGTCTTCCTTAGGTGACAGTTTAATATATTTAGGATCACAAACAAGATGGACCATTAAGTTGTGTGAGAAGGAAAGGGGAAGCAATACCTTTGTCGCTGACCACTGATTGAGAGAGCACATCGTCTGAAACAGATGAGGCAAGTAGATCTCGGTGGCGCAACCACCCTGATCAGGCAAGAGGACAGGGGTCTGCAGCTCTTGAATCTCGAGAGATGCTGGTGGTAAGTTTCAATAAAAATAATTCATTCATTTGATTTTAGGTCTGTTCAGGGGAGAAACTCGGGATCACCTTTGTTGTGCAGATTCAACTGCAGAAATTACTTTATTCAAATTTTGTGCCACATTTCTGTTAAATGTACAATTTTCAAAAAAAAAACCTAAAATGTAGGTCTTTACATTATTATATACAGTGGCAAATACTTCACACAACAGTATTCTGCTGAGTAAAGATAGAAAATAAAAATGTAAGAATCCCAAAAGTAACCCTTCTCTCCATCAGTCGCTGGTGAACACCAGAGCCTGAACTGCAGTCCAGTTTGGTTCAAGAAGCACAACTAGCCATTCAACAGCCAAGTCTGTACAATGTCACTTCGTCACCTTCCCCTTCCCTTTACTTTTCCCTCCTTTTCGCTGTGGTTGTATTTTTTCTTCCTTTACGATCTTCGATGTTTTCTTTGGCTAATAAAACATGAACATGCATAAGTTAATCAAGACAACATTGATCATTCGTAAGTCAGATTTCCAGCTAGAAATATATTACCCAGTGTTGTAATGCTCGCTCACACTCTCCTCATGACATGGAGCCTGGTCAGGATATCACAACGTGAAGAAGAACGAGCATAAACTCACTTGCTAATATCCAGGGATACACTGTATTGCTGTTTGACNTTTTTTTCTAAACTGTTCAGAGAAGACAGTACTGTTTCAATACAGTACAATACTGTTAGTACAGTACTAACCTCATACTGATTTATTCTCAATAACTGCTTACTTGAGAGGCGTTCTCAACCATTGAACTACTTTATTGGTACAGACACAGCAGTTCATATTCTAGTTGAGCTTTAGTTGTGGGCAGCCTGTATCTTGCCAGCGGGACTCAGACCCCTGCCCTCCCTCAGCCATATCCAGGGCCACTGGGGGAGCACACTGAGTGCTTTGGGAGGTCGGGGGTCCGAGATACCAGAGTTTGAAATCGGCAGGGGAGTCCGGAAAGTGTCCAAGTTTGTGGTATTTTAGTTGACCTGTCGTCCAGATTTTCCCAGGGCCACCATTCTGCCTTGTGTCAGAGCCCAGCTGGTGGGCTCTGACACAAGGGTGCACTGACCTCTACATGCCCCTAAGGTCGGTTCAGGCCCTCTGTGGTTTACCTTAATCATGGGATCTGTTTCCATACTGTTTGCAGCCTCCTCCTCCTCCACCACCACTTCCTCTGGCTGGACGCCCTCAGTCTCAAGCTCTGTGTCTTGGGAAGGTCCAGCTCCACGTTTTGATTTCTTTATCCCCTGCAGTGCATAGGGCGTCAAGTGGGCCTCCCTGTTATAGGCCCGAGTGAAGGCAGCTTTGACCTAGCAAAAAGAGAAAAGGCACACTGTCAGACACTGAAGTAATAGAGATTAAGAACATTTACACAGGCTTAGAGGCGCACTTGCTACATTACACAAGTTAAAAATGAAGTCTATTCAGATTTAGGACTGGGTCCAGCTGCACTGAGCACTTTGAGCAGTATTTTTGGTGATTATAGAAATTGCTTGGTTACCTTTGGGTCTAATTTTGCAAAGGGATCAGATCTGCCCCCCCAGCTGCAAATCTCCATGATACTGTCCACATCCTCTTTCATAAGATAATATGCATCCATCGTTCCAACAGCGTGACGAACCCCATTGGTTCCTTCCTCCACCAGCGGCCGAACCAGTGTGTCCCGCAGGTAAGGGAGGTAGTCCAGATTCACTGCTCGCTTACTGGTTTGAGTCCTGTCAGTTTTTTTGTAAAAAAGTATTAAAAAATATTTAATTAGTTCAGATGAAGACTGAGAAATTATGGAAGAATGTTAAATTTTTATTTTCAGGCTTTGAAGGCCCTTGTGAAAGGCACTATATAAATTCAAGTTGTTGTTATTCTTGAAATTAAATATAATAATATATAATAATCCTTGCATTTGATATAGCGCTTTTCACGTTTTCTAGACGTCCCAAAGCACTTCACAGAATAGACTGTAAAGTGAATTGACTGTATATTTGTGAGCGAACGTGGCAGCCAATTGCGCACAGCATTTTCCCACAAAGTCGTGGATTGAAAATGACCAATTTATTATTGTTTTGGGTTTTGAAGGGATTATTATTAGGCTCTGTGTGGAGTAAGGAAACTTGCCCAAGGTTTCGCCCTGACCTGCCGGGAATTGAACTCAGGTGTCTCACTTGCAGAGCGAGTGCTCTAACCACTGAGCTACAGGACTCCACTAAATTGCTAAATTGAACAGCAGCAACACCTGATACTCAACTCAAGGTTTTAGCTGCAAGAGGAGTCTGGTTTATCAATGAAGATCAACTAAGTTTTAACCAGAAAGCAACAACTAATACTTCCCCAACTGTTAAATTGCTAAGTCACAATATGGAACCCTGTTGCGAATGGACCACTCAACTTAAAAGGGAGATTATTTTCTCTCCCGATGGTGCTGGAGTACATTTCCATGAACAAAAGCCACCAGATCCACAAGAAAAAGGCAATTCTTCATGCATCAACCTGATCAGCACGTGTCACAAGCACTCAACCATCAAGAGCATCATTACTAAATCTAATCCCATCTTCACCAGACCTTCACACACTTTCAGCAGTAGTCTCTGATTAATGGTCAGGAATGGGAGACTCCCTTTATAGACCAAGGGCACCAAAGCCAAATGTAGAACCCCAGATGAAAGCAGCTGTCACCACAGGCAAGGGATTAAAACATTCCTGACGTTCAGTCACACACTAGATATTATCGCAGAATGGATCGATCCTCACTTATCTACAAATTATTTCCACCTCCTCTACCTATCCCCTTCAGTTAGCCTGAAGGCCTTCTGGTGCTTCTTGACCTCTCTGCTGTACCATTGGCAGCCGTGCTTTCAACCACTGCCTGAACCTGTAGAAACCACCCCCCCAATCTCAATTGCTCCACCTTGCTATCTACTCCCCATTTTCAGATTCCACCTGAAGAATTTCCACTCCAACCATCCCTGCAGTAACCCCCCCAGCCCACCCTCCCCCACTTTCTTCCCAGCTCCACATCAAACTACGATTATTAAGCGCCCTCGAGATACTATCCTGCTCATCGACCATTTTGCTATTGTAGAATCCCAAAGGGAAGAAAAAAAACTTCTGTACCATCAGTTCACCCAGTATAACAAGTCCTAAGGTGGCTGCTGCAATCATTGCTCGTACCTTAGACACATGTGCCTGGTAAGTTCTTGTGTGATGCGATCATGCTTGCCAGTAGAGGAATATTTTCCCAACCAACTTGGGAAAGATGGAAACTGTGACATGTAGCCTCTCATCAACTCACCAGGAATAACACTGGCATAAATAGCCTGTAAAAATCAGAGAGTGCAAGACTTAAGGTGTCTGAAGCAGACGTTTGTTATTTATACATTCATGTTTTTACGGCATCCATAATCCCTATCCAACCATATTTACGATGAATTGGGTTGCCTGGTTTATAGATTTATCAATACCATTCCTCTAACAGGAAGCATTTCTTTTACTTTAGATATGACCAGTTGGACAAGAATAGTCTGTTCTGGTGGCTCCTAATGGCTTAAGTCAGTACTGACTAACTCAGGGAGCCATTCGGACATCAAATTTGAATGGTTTCTGTAGCACTGACCTGAGTAGGGAGGAGAGTCCAGATCTGCTTTGAACGGATCATTTTATCGACCAGATCACCATCACAGATGCTTTCGGCCGTTTTACTCAGCAGCATCAGGTGTTTTTTCATGTTTGAGCTAGAAAGTAAACACATTGCAATTAACAGCTTATTCACAAGCTACAGCCATGAACAAACAACTACATAATGTGACAGGTGGAAACAAAGTGAATGTATGTTTATCTGGGACCAGACACATTCAGTAAATTGAAAGTCCATACCTCAAACATATCTGTAAAATTAAATGGCTTGCTATAGATTTAATAACATGAAAATCTAAGGTCTCCAGGAGTCCTTAATACCCAGGGCAGGAACAGGTTATCTCCATGTCCTTCAGCTCCCATCCCCAGTTCTGGTGTCCAGCCAGCAGTGTTAAACACTTTAAGACAACCAATGTGAAAGGAAATATAAACTATTGTATTGGGCATGTTGCCCCTAACGTGTCATATATTATTAATCCTGGCAGCTCTTTAAATTTTAATTTTTTAAAAAAACAAACTAGTCAATTTTTCTCTTGCCTTTGTGGTTATTTTGACTATCCTAAAGAAGATTCCAGTTTTGCAAAACTCCCCCAGAACCTCATCCATGTGGCCATTATTCATGTGTGAGCCTCAATAGTGAGCATTGGAAAACTATTCCAACAACAGAGGGCATCATGGTCAGTTCTGCCCTCACAATGTCAATGCACATGTACGGTCCAGCAGTTACTTCTGCTTGGTCTAAAATTGCAGAAAAAACTGCTGATGAACTAATCCAAGAAAAATAAAACATTAGGATTGATCAATGCCCAAAACAACACAGAAGATGATAATCGGACATCTCTCTGGGACCAGGAGTGAGAAATCTCTTACGTGAAACAGACTATCCAGGTAAGCTATGAAGGCAGAGTGCCAGCAGATTCAAAAGGGAATTAGACATCTATTTAGTGAGTTGAGGGGTAAAAGTGATAAAGAAATGTTCAGGATTTTTATGAAAAGCTACTTTTGAGACCAGCAAGGTGGGCCACAATGGTCATCGGGTCCTGTGAATTCTTCTGTTCCTGCAGAATGCTCTTCATTCTTTTGTGAAAAGAGGTGATTTTATATGTCTGGATGTTCCAGTGTTACTGCTATAACCTGTGGGCTTCAAATGTAATTAGATATAATTTAATCTATTAATAACTAACCTGACATTATCAAATATTCTATTAAATTATTGGACTTGGTGTTTCAGGAGAACATGGGTCATTTGGTCTCATTAATTAATAACAGTTGTTGATACCATTTCAGGCAACACTTGAATCACCTGAATGGATTTTGTACAGAAATAGCAAGAACCAAAGATAGAGACACACCCAAGAACACAAATACAACAAGTTGCAATTATATGGCACCCTTCACGCAGTGTAGCGTCCCAGAGCAGTGACAGTAGCGGTCTGAAGCCAAGCCAGGGGGAGGAGGGGTGACTGTACGCACGATCAACAAGGTCTTTAGGCAGGATTTGAGGGGCAGGAGGACGGAGGGATTGAGCGAGAGTTCCAGAGTTTCGGGGCATAGTGGCTGAAGGTACGGTCTCTGATGGTGGAGCGGAGTGCACGTGGGACAAACAGAAGGCGAGAGTGGAGAGTGGAGTTAGCGGGTGGAGGAGTAGGTCGAATAGGTAGGGAGGTGTGAGGGCATGAAGGGATTTGAAAACAAGTGAGACTACCTTGGAATCAATCCGTTTGGTAATTGGGAGCCAGTGGAACCTGCCAAGGACTGATATGATGAGGGTACTGAGTTTTGTCCGGGTGAGTATCCGGGGTGCAGAGTTTTGAATTAATTTAATTTTGTGGAGACCAGTGAGGAGGGCATTGGAATAGTCCAGCTGTGAAGTGCCAAAGGCGTGGATGAGGGTTTGTGTGGAAAGCAGTCAACTAGAAAACATTTGGCAATAAAAACCCGCATCTGTACGATTTTGATGAACACCTCTCTCCTCCTTACCCTGCGGCTACTGGCTTCACATGGATGTAGTTCTCCTGAACAAACAGTGGTGCTATTGAATAGTCATAGAAGAAGAGGTCAGACTTGTCGATTAGGCTCATACGAGCAGTCTCCTCACCGGTAGCAAACACCTTCCTCACAACATCAAATGGACCCTAAAGCCAAAAAGTTAACTCCATGTGAAAAAATGCAAGGGTTTTATTTTAAAAAAACTTTAATGGTCTTCACCACAAGCTAGTTTTTAAAACTCAAAAGTGGTTCAAATCCCATTCACATTTTTACCCTAATGGAGCTACAACCAATAGCTACAGTCAAATTCAGTACACAAGACCTGGAAATTTCGCTGCCGATCCTCCTACACTGAAGTCGCCCATCACTGAGCCGAGATCAAACACCAGGCCTGCAACTTCCTGCAACTTCCTTAAAAGCTAATTCTTTTATTTATATTTTGCTTCTCATCTTCCTCCAGTCTTCTCCTTGCAGTGGCTCCTCTATTATGTAACCATTCAGTTTTAGCCAACACAGGATTCCCTGATTGGGATTTCTCATTCCCATGACCATCTAACACGGGGATGTTCTTGCCAAGGATGGCTCGAAACTTGTGGTCTGCCCAGTCGCAACAAGGATCACTTCTTGATCAATTTTATATCAAGGTCAGTTTTACATTCTTTAATAATTCCATCCCTGCAATCTACCGAGAACAAATCATTGTAAGCTGAATTATTATAGCACTTTATGCAAATTGCATCACACTAATTATTCTCAAATATTAGTGACTATTTCAGTAGGCAAATATGCCAGCTATTTTTTTTTGTCATTTTGACTCGATAAACAGCCACGAGTTGAACAACCAATTTATCTAGAGGATCATTTGTATACCAGCAAAAACTCTCTTTTCCAGTATATCATGGGATCTTTATCGCCCACCTGAATAAGTTGGCAAGACCTGTTTAACCATCTCTGAAGGACGGCACCTCCAACACTGCAGCACCTCAAACCAGCCCTGGACTGGATATCAGCCTCAACTTCTTTTCAGTGGTCTTGATCATCAGTTACTCACCAGCTTAATATCTTTCTTGGCACTTTTGCCATCTTTCTTGGCCTGATCATAAGTCATTGATTTCTTATCTGCACACCACATGGTAATATTATGCAAAACCTAGAAAACACAACAAGACCACAGCTTCAAATACAAGGCAGACCATTCCAGCATGTGAATGTGCATGATGTGTGCTGGAATGGGGACAGAGGGCACTGGAAAATAGCTTAAAACTAAACTCTTCAGACCCAGTACACTTCAATGCTTATTGAAAGAATTTTGAAAATGAGACATGAGCTTAATTCTGCAATCAACAAACACCCCTTTCCATTGGTTAATTACATAATTAAGCACTGTATTTAAGATTATGAATATTTTGATAAGGTGGATGTTAATAGGCCGTTTCCATAAGTTGGCGAGTACAAAAGAAGGGAACATGAATATGTAAGCTCGTTGTACACATGATTTACATATGGTGAGCAGATCTAGTATTGTGCAAAACCTAGAAAATTAAATTTTTCTCTTCTACGCATCTACCTGCTGATTACTAATAACCTGCACATCGAGGCTTCCTTTTAAGAAGGAATTAGTTGCCTCTAAATATCTGAAGTCTTACAATTTCTGCTTGTAAAAGATAATTCTATTTTCTACAACAACATCTTCCTACAACGCTTGGCTATGGACAGAAGTGCCATAGGTCAGGCACTACAGTGCTGAATATACAAATATCTTTTTTTAAAGTGTTATTTTGATCCTAATAGCATTTGTGTGTGAGGTACCAATAACCAGGCATATTAGGATGAGTAATAAAGATCTAAAAGGGGGTTTAGGAGGAACTTCTTTGTGCAGAGGATGGTGCAAATATAGAACTTGTTGACAGAAGTTCTGGTTAAAGCAAAAAAGCGTTAAATCATTTACAACAACAAAATTACATTTGTAAAATGCCTTTCATTTCAAGAGGACGTCCCAAGGCGCTGGACAGACAGAGTTTTGGACCCGAGCTGGGAGTTGGGGAGGATGGAGGGCAGGGGCGGAAGCAGGGAGATCGAAGGCACGGTTGAAGAGGAGGGTCTTGAGATGCGTCTTGAAGGTGGCGAGGGAGGGGGCGAGACGGAAACTTAAGAGGAAACTTGATGCATACAAGGGAATACAAGGAAATGGGAGTGCTGGAGGCTCATGCAGAGTATAAAGTACTGGAAGCTCATGAAGAGTATAAACACCAGCATGGATTAGTGGGGTTGAATGGCCTTTCTCCATGGTGTATAATTCGGTTACTATGCATTTCCAGTTGTACACGATTTACATATGGTGCACAGCAGACCTCACTATACAAGCTACCTGGAAATAATCGCTTCAAACACAAAGGACAAATGACTGGCCCTCAAAATAACACATTGTACAAAATTCAAATTGAATTTGCTTTTAACATCCTATGATGGGTATATAAACTATGCTTTCAGCAGGACGTTGATTATAGAACATATTCCCACACTCGTAGTATGTAAGAGTTGTGATGTGGGGTCCAGCCCATTCAAGGGATCATCTCAACACTGAACACTAATGCTAATTATTTGGGATGCCAGGATCTGGCCACGAACCTGTCTGATATCCTGATTGGCTGCAAGGATAATTTCATTCATGGCTGGAGGAGGAATCTTCAAACCTTCTTTATAAGCAACAGTCATCATGGCACCCTATAGGTGAGGGCAGAGAAAGGTGATGAGTTACGAAGAAGCGAGCACCCAATCACAGCAGCTCACGACTCCAAAGTGCTTCCCCTTCCCCCAAATACCATTATTTCTGGATACAAGAAGAAGAGTTTATCAGAACAATCACCAATTTTGCACAATATGAATTTCTGTTTCACTGTCACGTGACGGAGTAATCAAATTTATTCAACTTCATTTGAAAACCTTTTTAGTAAGGCCTGTCGAAAGCTTTACACTACTCCATCACACCAATCACCCCACCGCCCTGGCTCACTCAGCCTTTCCCACCACTCGTCACATAAATTTATCCCCTACCCACCACGAGGAAACACCACACTGGATTTCACCAGAGCAAGAATTAGAAAAACTAGTCACAGCGGTTGTTGGTAAAGTAACTTCTGTAACTGCACCTTGATCTGTTCCAGTCGGGGACGTGGGAAGCGGAGGTCAAAGCAGTAATTGGCCAAGGAGCGGATCTTGGGATGGTTCCTGTCATTGCACATGCAGATGATTGGAATCTTGGTCTGTTTAATTAGAGCGATCAGTTCCTGAAACACAAACACAGCCACCATCACATTGCAAATTCTTCTCAGATGAGAGAAGAGATGAGAGAAACACACAGCGCAGTACAGAGTGCATTACCTGAACTCCTCCCCGGTCCTCATTGCCAGCCATTCCATCCACCTCATCCATGATCAGCACATGTTTACTGCTTACTGAGGATGAAGCTCCTTAAGGAGATGAAAAAACCACGTTAGGAAACGATGTCCACACCATTTTTTAATGTGGTATCTCGACCCCTGACTGTCCAGCGCTTTGGGACGTCCTCCCGACGGGAAAGGCGCTCTGTAAATGTAATTTTGTTGTTGTTGTAGCTCCGTGGTTAGAGCACTCGCTTTGCAAGAGAGAGAACTGGGTTCGATTCCCGGCAGGGTGAAACCTTGGGCAAGTTTCCTGCTCCACACGCCTGATAATAATCCCTCAAAATTGATCATTTCAATCCACGACTGTTTGTGGGACACTGCTGTGCGCTATTGGCTGCCGCGTTTCGCCCACAAATATACAGTCAATTCACTTTTACAGTGTATTCTAGAAGGCGTGAAAAGCGCTATATCAAATGCAAGGATTATTATTATTAAATGTGCAGCAACTACCAGGCACCACATCAAAGCGTGGCAGCAATGCACTAGCACAGCCCAACATAGGCATTGTGGTGTCTGCAGATACCGTAGTAGAAGCCAGTGATGGTGGTGTTGTTCAGTGACTCTGCTACCACTTCCTTCAAGCTGTTTTTGCTCCGGGTGTCACTGGCGTTGAGTTCAACGTAGCTGAATCCCAAATTCTTTTCAGGAAGAAAACAAAAGGGAAGGAAAAACGAATGCCACATGTATTACAATGTTACAAAATGCCAAGTAGCATGAGAAAAACAAGACTTAAGAAAAAGTTATAAGCTTCCAATAATTTTGTTTCCCTCGAGTTTGCATTCATTGATTGACTTCAGGTTTGATACTCATGTATCTCTGACGTTTAAATTAACCTAATCCAGTAAGCAGACACAGGCCAGTGCAAAGAGAGGGCACGGCAACAGGTTGTCCTAAAGCAACATGTTATATTATGAAATGAGTTGGCATTGAATTTGTGTCTTCTACTCATCTATCTGTTGATTATTAATAACCTGCATATCAAGACTTCCTTTAAAGAAAGAATTAGTTGCCCATAAATATCTGAAGTCTTACAATTTTTGCTTATAAAAGCTATTTCTATTTTCTATGACAGCATCTTCTTACAACGCTTGGCTATGGACAGAAGTGTCAGAGTCCAGGCACTACAGTGCTGGATATACAAATATTTTTTTTTAAAAATGTTATTTTGATCCTAATAGCAGGTACCAACAACCAGCCCTATTAGGATTAGTGAAATAGTGCTGGGATCAGTAAGGCTGCGATGGGAGAGTGAGTTTATTTAACACATCCATCTCTAAAAGTAAATTAATCTGTTATTTTACAAGTAAGCAAATGCAAGTTCATCTCGTATCTTATCCCATTTCCAAACATTTGCAGAGATAAGAGATGTGAAGTTTCATTCGCTAGATTGTAACCAGCTCATGTGTCCAGATATCAGATTGGATTCGAGATATTCAAACCATTAAATATTTGCTTGACCAATATTTACAGTCTTCTGTTAATTGTGTACTGTGCGTTAAGGAGGAACATTAATAAATACAATGTGTTTTATAAAAGCTCTTAATGTAACAAAGCACTGCAGTGACATACAACCGTGACAGAAGGCCATCAAGAGTTCACTGCATTAAAGGTGGTGCTAATATTAGGCTTGTATCTCTGGAATTTATATTCTCTTACCATACAGACGAGAGTGGCTGTGGTGGTTTTCCCCACACCAGGAGGACCAGAGAGTAGAGCAGCTTTGGAACTTGAACCATCATCCCTTCCGCCAAACCTGTGAAACTTTGCTGTACAAATACAAAACAAATTTTATAGCGCGTTATCTCAAAACGTCACACAATTATACTGAGACGTATGGCTGTTATTGGCAACCACAACATGTGCCAGCTCCATCACATAAACAGCAAATATAAGAACAATCAATGAATTTGGTTGCATTTTGGCCATAGGGGGGAGAGGCCAGCCAGGACCCGGGGGGGGGGGGGAGAGGAAGGGAAGATCAGTCCCTTTCCTTTACTTCCCTATTCCCCTCTGCCTCATGTATGCATTGTTTCCTCTTCAATATTCTGATTAAATAACAAAGGTAATAAGGGAATATGAAAAAAATGCAGGGAAATTAGATTGAAAATAGAAAGAACTGCGTTATCTAATAAAATAGCAAAAAGGCTCAAACAGACGAACAGCTTACTACCATTTGTTATGGAGCTGCCCCAATAGGTCAAGCTCAGAGAAAGGTTTTCTATCCTCACCTATAGGCTTGTTGCCCCCAGAGTTGTTCCTATGCCAGTCCTTCAACCAGCGGAGCAGCTTGTTGGCACAGCTCTGTTCCCCTTGTTGTCCTATGATATTTTTCAGGGCTGTTGGCTTGTACTTATCCACCCACAGCAAGCTCGCTTCTTCCTCCTTCGCTGACAGCTGAGAGGCACTTGCTGTCTTCAGCCTTGATGTAGAGGCAAAGGGTTCTGCACTGAACGAGATGCTCTTCACACCTCTCAAAGAGTTGCCATTCTCTCGTGTTGGAGGACTGCTGGTTGAAGGGCCGTCTTTTTGATGCTCACTCCATTTCTTTGAGGGTGTTGAAACCTTCACATTGCGTGTGGAACTTTTCCCCGATACCTTGTTTCTTTCCTCTGAAACTACTTTCAATTTTTTAACCTGTAATTTGTTTGGGTTTAGGAGGGGAAAAAAATTGTGATCCATCAAGTTGTCACTGGAGATATCAGATAAACAGATCGCGGGTGCTGAAAACACTCTTGTTGGTGATCTTGATATAGGTGTTGATTAACTTACACACAAAGTCAAGAAGCAACAGGTAAGACCCCAAATGTCCCCACATTCAGCACCAAACTAACCTCAGCTTCAGCTGCAATCTCATACTTGGATTTCTTTCCTGGCAATTTGTGGATCAGATCCAACAGGCCATCCTCATCAATCTGTTTGGTGCCAAGGGTCTCTGCCTAAAGAAAATAACATTAAAATAAAGTCACTGCTTAATTTCCACAAAAGGATACCCGCTAATGGATGGGAAAACATACTTCAGACCAGAACACCGTGCAATTTCAGTACTCAGAAGCATAGAAACTTGCTGCACAGAAGGAGGCCGTTCAACCCATCCTGTCTGTACCACTGCTACCAGTCTTTCTAAATTACTTTGTTAAAATTCAGACTCGCTGAAACAATCTCAATGCCAATAGCTTCCTTCCGTCTGCCAGATGCGAGAAGCACATGAAGTCAGCGGTTATTAGCAATTTTACTGATGTGATGTGTGCATTTGGTCATTATCAGGTCATTGAGACGTCTCAAAGCGCTTCACAGAATATACTGTAAAGTGAAAGGGCTGTATATCTTGTGGCCGAAATGTGGTAGCCATTGCACACAGCAGTGTCCCACAAACAGTTGTGGATTGAGTAATCATTTTTTTGGAGGGTTTATTACCCCTGGAAAGCAGTCCGCCAATCGACTAACAACCAGGTTCCTACATAGAATTGCGTAAAAACAAACTGAAACGCACAAACACAGACGAGTTGGGGACAGTAGCTTTGCAGCGATAGAAACATCAACCAGTCATCTCATCAACTTGATTGTTCATTATTAGACTGACTGTGTCAGTGACTCAGGTATCACATGGAGCAACAATCGGGTATTACTAGGGAGAAGATGGCAGGACTAAGCCAAGTTGCCCATTAAATAGAGCCACCCGAGGTGAAGAGGTCCATGTCCCCGACTAACTGCCAACACGTACCTGAAAATAAGCTGCGACACTGCAAAGCAACAACAACAACAAATAACATTTATATAGCAGCTTTCACGTCAGGAGGACGGGAGGATCCTGTGGGAGCAGCAATGGAGATGTGCGTGTGTACATGGTGAGGCAAAGGAGAAATTTAGCACCCCTCCCCACCCACCAGTAACATCTGATCTCCAAATGATCCAGTGTTGAAATGCAACAGGATAGAGGATACTTGCCATAAGCTCACCAGGTGCCGTAAAGCGATATAGCTCTGCTGCAAATAACCTATGCGCCAGATACTTAGGCATATGACCTATGCGCCATATTTCAGTGGTGCTGATATCCAATATCACGCATTACTGATAGTACTCACTTTATCCAGCTTGGATCGACCACTATCCCGGCCCATCACCAGGTAATTGGTTTTTTTACTGACATTTCCAGTCACTTTCCCTCCATATCGCTCTATTAGAGACTTGGCTTCATCGCGCTCCATTGACTCCAGGACCCCAGTAATTACGAATGAAAGATTCTCCAAACAGTTCTCAGCTCCCTTGATAGGAAGAGTTTGAACAATCAATAGGGCACATTCTAAACCAACTCACTTCTACTGAGGAACTGAAAATTATAATTGGGGAGGAGGGGAGGTAGGAAAGAGCGTAAATTTGTTTGCAACCAGAGATACAGGGTGTCTGAGCATCTGAGTATTTGACAGAACACAAGCAGCACGGAGATAAATCCAACCATTGTACAAATGTTGCCTGCGAAAAACAAATATTTAACAACCCTTCCCGTTTGACTATTATGTTCCTTGGTCCCAAATAACCAGCCTGTTGAGGAGTTCACTGATTGGAGCAGCTCCAACTAACAAAGGTACTGCCTCCCCCTGGGATGAAGGTGGAAAGATCTATAGACAGTATGTGACATGCCAATGACATTGATGTTCTAAAGGTCAGAGTCCAATCTGAGTACCAAGTTTATTTGTCATCAACTGCTTAATCCAGGTTATCTCTCAAGAAATTTTAGCAACGTAGCATGAAGCCATCTCCACCACCAGGGTGCTGAGCACCAGATCAGTATAGACCAATGCCCTGCAGGCACTTCATTTCACCAAAAATCCATCACACTGCTTGGTCCTGGATCTTACAAATTGAATGAGGAAAACCCTTCTGTTGCATGTCCAGGTGAAGGAGAACTATTTAGACATGTTCTATAATTCACACGCTTAACCTACATTGGGACTTTGCTGTCATTGAGAGACCTCACCCCTTCTCATGGTCCCAAATGATGGTTGGTGTCCACCACAACCTCCAGATACCAATAGAAATCAATAATTGTCAGTTACAATACTGTACCAATTACAATAATTGTATCTTCTAATTAATATAGTCGAGGTCCCCTCTTGAGCTGTGCAAAATCATAATACCACATTTGGGGCAACCAGGACCATGTTCATTCAATGGTCCAGTGTTCAAGATGGTGAGGACAGGGCATGAAATTCCCAGTCGAGTCCGCCAATAAAACAACATTATCTGCAACAAAGGCCCCACAAGTCTACCAGAAAGGCCTGGATCCGGCAATCTAAGCGGGTCTTTTTTGATGCCATCCATCATTGATACATTGAATAGGGTGGATAGCACCCAAGACGGACAGGCTCAGTGAGTCTGCCATCAAACCACACATGGATCTTGACCTGAAGGACACAAGAATAGGCCATGTTCTCATGGTGCATTAGGTCAAAAGCCTTAAGAAAATTGGTGAATGCAACATAAAGGGGTTTCCCCAGAGCCTTCTGGCATTCTGAGACTTCATATAAAGTCACAACCTGCCCCACACATACCTCACGAGAATGGAATCCATCTTTCCCGATTATACGCAATGCATCCGAAAATTGTGCTTAACTACCTGAATCACACAAAAGTGAAAGCATTTGGCAGGAATGTTTTCGTTAGTCAAGAATGAAAGGCAGAGGTTCACAGACTTATCTAATACTGTTGTTTCTCTAACAGTAAAGCGTGCCAACTAGCAAGCTATCCAGCTGACTATACGTACCCACATGGGTTTGTTGTAAGCCATGTACTTGTCTAACAACTGGCACCTCAGAGAGCCCTCCAGCTATGTCCTGGATTAAGCAGTTAGTGTTAAGTAAGGCTTGTATGTGGTATTGGACTTGGACATCTAGAGCATCAAGGTGGCAAGCACGCCACAAATAAATGTCCTCTCACCATGAGGAAGGCAGATGTCCATGCTGATGTCCAAGGCTTAGGAGGACAGCTGCCGGAAGGCATTTCCTAGAGACCAGGTTCGTGAACATACGCTTACATTCAGGACTTGGTATAACTCGATTTGTAAGCACCGCAATTCCAAATAGCGGGACCATCACTCATGAGGAGGAATGTGTGGTTAAGAGGATCAGGGCAATGCACTCATGCATTTTCTGCCAAGTTGTGTTGCTCACCATATGGCGTGTGAGGAATTCCTGGTTCCTTCTGTCTAGTGAAGGCTGAATCCTGCAAGCCAAAGTTCTAACAGGTAGGGTGTCCTAGTTAGCCATGCAGCAGAAAGCTTACTGGTTTTCACAATGGCAAACTGTGATTTTAGTTGATTAAACTCCAGTAGTACTCTGATACATACACTGGGGTCCCCAAACATTGGCTGTTGCCAGCCTGCAGCTATACTCTCTGAGATTAGGTGGGCTGGGTGCATTTCTCCGGGGAAAGAGTCTGCATTGACAAATAAATTGAAGCCACACACTTGTGACAATCTCAGTAAATTGGTTTGGAGACTCTTAATCACGATGATGTGTTCCACGCGTGTCAGATACCTGGCCGACCAATAAAAAAATCATCAGCAATGCTATGAGCATATACTACAAAAATATGCAAGGGTTTTGGAGAGAGAAATAAAAAAAATCTATAAACATATTAGCTTCTATAGGGCAGGAAAAATAAGACTTACATCTGTATATAAAATCGATTCCACAAAGTGAATCTTTCGCATGCAATTAGCACCATCTTACCTGAGGGATTTCTTTTGACCCCAGCGCTCGAGGTCCATCACGGTTCAAGTAGCTGCGATAAGCCAAGTAATTCTGACGTTTCTTCTCGCTGTCCTCTGGACTCTGGGTTTGCAAAGAACAAAGATGTGATGAACTGTCTTCCAACTGCTGCCCACACAAAGGTAAGCCACTTCACGGTCACACCTTCCTCTTATGAATTCCCCCCTACTTAATGGCAGAAGTCACTGTTTAGTATAGCATAAAAAATAAGATAAATCTTAAAGCATATGCTCATAGAGGTACCCAAGTTCCCTTTCCTTGTGAATCAAGCAGCGAGCCCTTCAGTCATCAATCAGATATATCCAGATTCAACTAATCGAAAGTAGCAAACGTATCTTAATAGAAAAAACTGATTTAGGTGACTGAAGCTTTCTCCCATGAATTTTCATATTTTGCAGTCTGATCCACAAAGGAAGTGTTAAAATAATTCAGTAGTTAGCTCCAGGGCGAAACCTTGGGCAAGTTTCCTTACTCCACACGCCTAATAATAATCCCTCCAAAAAAAACAATAATAAATTGGTCATTTTCAATCTACGACTGTTTGTGGGACATTGCTGTGCGCAATTGGCTGCCGCGTTCGCCCACAAATATACAGTCAATTCACTTTACAGTGTGTTCTGTGAAGCGCTTTGGGACGTCCTCCCGACGTGAAAAGCGCTATATCAAATGCAAGGATTATTATTATTATTATATTACTTGGTTTGACTAATGAAAATAAAGTACATTTATTTCCAACATCAAAGAAGATTGTTACTAGATTGTAACTAGGTAGTCGCACTTATCTATCTAGATCAGCCCTTTTCATCGATTCTTAACGTCTTTCAAAATAGCTGTAATTAATATAGTCTTTAACATTGTGAAACTCCTTAAAATAAATCAAGCTATTACAAAGTTAGGAAATGATTGCGGTGTGAGGAAATGCGGCTAATTTGCACCACCACATTCAGCATAAACGTGAATAACAATTATTTTTTTTAAGTGAATTTGGTTGAAGGATAGACATCGACCAGAAGAACCCCCTATTCTTGTGAAAAACAGTGCAATGGGATCTTTAACCTCAACACAAATCATGTGCAAACAAGGCCTCAATGTAATTTTTACCTGAAGAATCTTAAGAGGAGTTGCATAGCCAGGTATTCTCAAGTAAAGCACAACTCTATCTCTGCTCTAACACACACCACACAGTGGGAAACAAATGCTCCTTACCACAGATTTTGCTGGTGAGATTTTCTCCTCTTTCTTTGGAGAAATAATTTTCTCTTCTACTGGCGTCGATGCCTTCTTCATCCCAGACGATTCTTCCCTACGTTTCATAAACGCAAGTTTAGAGCTGGTTTTCAGAGGAGACGATTTACTGGAGAGCTTTTCTTCTCTGTGAATGGAGCTCCCAGGTGGAGGTTGGGAAGCAGTCCTGGATTTCTCCAACGTAATGCGGTCGCTGCGGCGCCTTCCATGGTCATCAGACTGGCCCAGCGACTTGCCTGAATAATTAAAGATATTTGTTTTACAAAACTTCTTGAACATTTTTGATTCCAAATATTCCTTTTTTTAAAATAATAAAATAACTCCCATTTCCGACAACAATTTACATAGCTGCTTTGACATTGTCTTAACATTTCAAAGCCCTTCAAGCACCTGATTTATCATCTGCTGTGCCCTGAGTACTGAAGGCACACCTGGACTATCGAGACCAACAGAGGATTGACTTGGTTCCAAGTTTCCTTTGCCAAGCAGCTCACCTTGGAGTTAGTTCAGCAACAAGGAGACCCCGCTTAACTTTCCTCTCCCCACAGTGAGTTCCAGAGGTTAAGAGCATAGTGGCTGAAGGTCGGCCATCGATGGTGGCATAGATGGGTTAGGGGAAGTGCAGAGCCCTGTTAGCTGACCAAAGGGTTGGGCAGAGGAGTGCGGTACAAGCAGGTCAGGGAGGTGGGAGCTGTTAATTTATTAATAGTTAATCCAATGGAAACAGATTTACACCCATTTTGTAAAATAAATTAAAAGATTTTGAAGCTTTGCCAACTTTTTTTTTAAAAAAAAACATTTACCTGAGTTTTCTTCTGTCTGTTCATCAGCAGTTTTTCTGGGTTTGGCTTTAACCACCAAGGATAACGATAATTCCTGGCCTTCGGAACCCGTCCGCGCCTGAGGTTTAAAAAGTCAGATAAACCGATTGTCAGATCGCCAAATCAATTGTCAAAGAAATACTCTGGGATAAGAGCAAAAAATAACCTCATCCTTAAATAAACCCAGCAAAATAACTTGGATTTATATAGTGCCCTCCACGCAGGGTAGTGTCTCAGAGCTCTTAACAGTGGGGAAGCCGGACTCCGAGCCAGGGGGAGGGAGCCATAAGCACAGTCGAAGAGGAAAGTTTTCAGGCGGGACTTGAAAGAGGGGAGAGAGGGGGCAAGACGGAGGGATTGAGGGAGTTTTTCCAGAGTTTTGGGGCGTAGTGGCTGAAAGCGCGGCCTCCAATGGTGGGGCTGAGGGTGTGAAGGATGAGCAGAAGGCTGGTGCCAGTCGAGCGGAGGCACCGGGTGGTGGATTCGGGAGTGAGGAGGTCGGAGAGGTAGGGAGATGCCAGGGAGTGGATTTGAACATAAAAGTGTGGATCTTGATTTGGTCCGTTCGGTGATGGGGTCAGTGGAGCCTGGCCAGAACTGGTGAGATGTGGGTACGGAGTTTTGTCCGAGTCAGTATGCAGGCGGCAGAGTTTTGAATGAGCTGGATCTTGTGAATGGTGGAGCTGGGGAGACTGGCGAGGAGTGCGTTGGAGTAATCCAGGCAGGAGGTGACAAACACATGCAGCAATTAAATGTTTTCTTGGACTATCACTCTTTTGGGACATTTAATATGGGCGAGTGTATGAATGCCCAGCTCTTTGTAGATTATTTTTGCTTAGTATACAAGCTAGGTTGTAATCCTCATCTGAGCAGATTAGTGGCTCAGAGTTTAGTATGGTTCTATTAGAGTGAACTCAGATTCAATGGGTGTGCCTGGATTGGTAACATAGTCTGCACCAATGAACAGTCAAACACAGATCCAATATTAGGTCATAGAGAACACTACAAAAATCGGCCATTCTACCATGAGAAGCAGACTGCTTGGCTCAATCTTTTTCCTTCATTATTGCAAAGTGGAAGAAGCATGTTGATTGCTTACCATCCCGAGACATTAACAGTCTAGACCGAAATGCATTTGGTACCATCCTCCCTAGAATCTCTGAAACTGAATCAATACTGGTGCTTCAGGCTGCAAATGATGCATCAAAAATCATCAGTTGGTAATTACCTAGTCAGGGTCCTTGTGACTCTCTCTCTACTCTTGTTTGCACATGATTATCACATCTCACAAATTACATGGAATTTACAGCAGCAAAACAAGGTATTCGACCCAACTAGTCTCAGTGCCCTCTGTGTAACCTACATGTATGCCCCTTTGTAATGGAAATGAGACCCAATCTTGTAACTTCATACATCTGAAATGTAAAGTACCTGTGATCAGCAATAGATTATTGATTTTATCAATTTTTTTAAAATTAGTGGCAGCCTTGGTTCACTTTTGAAGGTAGATCTTAGTGCAGTAACATTTCAGACTTTACCTTTTTACTTTTAGGCAGCTCATCCAACATCGCCAAGGTTCTGGCAAACTCTTCATCTTCATGCAATTGTCTCTCAAGCTGACAGAAATCAGAGAACAGATTATTGTTTATTAATTCTCTCTCCTGAAGACCCAACTATTGCTGAGGTGCAATCCCTTGAACGTTGGCACCCAACACGTTGAGTCAATAGTACTCTGTCCAACACAGTTTCAGGTCCCAAGCCTTAGCTCTTGTCAGTTTGGTGCCTAATAGTCTCTGGAATTAAGTGAGCAGGGAGCATCCTACGGGGAGAGAGCATGCATTCTATTCCAGAGAAAGGGGAATTTCCACGTGTACGCTGCATATACATATATAACAGTCTGGTTTGGATACTCTTAATCATGGTGATGAGTTTCCATACGTGTCAGACACCCACTTGACCAAAAGGAAAATGGTCACTGGCAATTCTTTGCCACCTCCTCCAAAGAGCAAATCATATGTACGCTTAATGAGTGAGTAACTGAACTACGACTGTGAAGGATATTGCTGTGTTTAGTGTTTTGAGAGAAGAACCTGGCAGGTCTAGTGCCAGGTCTGTGCTGAGTTAACTATTCTCAGTCACAATTGGGTTAGGAGGAAGGTAAACAAAATCAGGCACTGCCATTCCTGATAGCAATCTAGGAACTCCCTGCTAGGAGGCGAGGCTTGGGTAGGCAGCTTCGGGAGAGACTGATATGCTTCAGTCAAATAGTCTGCTGACAACTCACTAACTAGGGCGACACATACAGAATCATTACTTGAGCCAAGAGCGTTTATAAAACCATACCCAAGCAAGAACCCTTCTGAGGAGGTGAAGGCAGGAAAGAGGAAAACTGATAAAAAAGAAGAAAAAGAACTGCACTGGTCTATGACAAGATGTTTGCAACCTTCATAAAACAGCCATAATCATAAAACCAATAACAACTTGCATTTTTATAGAACCCATTGTACAGCGCACAGATGCTATTCGGTATGAAGATATAAATGCAAGTTGTTGTTCAAATAGGATAACATCTTTACAGTGCTTTACAGTGACAGTGGGTCAGTCACATACATATAAAGGAATGTAACATCCTTGTAAAATCATCAAAATAGCAGGAATTACAAGCTGTTTAGAGGAGAGGAGAACCAGTTGAAGAATAACACACCGACTTTGACACAATGCGTTGCTGCAGAAACACACAAAGTGAACTTTGTCCAGTTCACTGCACACTGAAGTCAATAAATTTCAACAAAAGATTTTACCCTCACAGAATCTATTCAGAAAAAGAAACCCACTGAATCTATAGAATCAATAAACTGAACAGGATTTGTAGTAATAAACTCTGGTGTCCAACAAGCTACTGATTTTGTTTTAATCTGTGCTGAGCACTCGCAGTCTGTCTACTGAAAGTGAGTTTGATAGAAAATGGTTTTCAATGTGATTATCAAAAGAATGTCATATAGGTGTCTCCATGAGATTGAAGGGGTCACCTACATTTGGTTCCCATTGGATTTTCAGGCTACGGCAGCCATCACTTTGCTCTGGCCTCAGCAGCAGTGACACACCATTGCAAGTGTGGGCTAATGAACATTCGTAAACAGCCAGGGGGAAGATTCACTAGGAATCTTGGTACCCCGCAGACCTATAGGTTGCAAACTGATGTCACTGGGTATCAAAGGCAAGACATGACATCAATTAGCTAAAGGGAAGAAACAAAGGGAGCAAGGTAACATGGCAGTTGGCAATAAGTAGAGTGCCTCAGCGGTCTTTACTATTCCTTGTATATCTTTAATATTCTTTGTATATATCAATGAGCTGGAGTTGCAGACCCAGTGTAAGGCAGTTTGCAGGTGACACTCTTGTAAGTGGTGGGGCTGGGAGCAAAACTGTAGAGTTAGAAGAGGCTACGTGTATTTAAGTGTATTAAGCACACTGCCTGAGGTGTTCACCTCCACCAACTCGACTGCTGGAGGCAAATACATATTAAACACACAGAGAGGTCATCAATCTCCTTCAGCTGTACTATTCTACTTCATGTCCCTACCATATGCACCCCACTCTTGGAGTATGGGATTTCAGCCGATCTGCCCCAACTCTGGAACTCTATTACCGCTTTCGGTCACCTTCCCTTCCCCACCCCCTCGGCTCCCATCCCCAGTTCAGGTGCCCAGCCAGCAGCATCAAGCACTTTGGGATGTCCTCCCAATGTGAAAGGTGCTATACAAATGTAAATTTATATTGTGCTGCATTAGCATTAAACTGAACTTGCTCAAATCCTGACATGTCCCTTTAAAAGTATATTACAACATTCCACTACTGTTACCTCCACATCATCTTCAAGCTGGTGAGCAAACTCCTCATCTTCCATTGTTGAATCCAGGCTGCCCGAAGGCTAAGATAAAAGAGAATAATAAACATTACATAACCGGTTATAAAAAGATATTGATGCAGTGCAGTGGTAAATACTCCAGCATCCTCTCTCCAGGCTCATGCATGTAGATACTTCATGTGAGTGAGGAACACGCATGGTTTTTAACCATCTTCTGTGTCGTCTCGTCAAATACTTCTGTATGCTTCTACACAAAGGTCAGTTAGCATTACACTCCCAAATATCTCCAAAAACAGTGTTTTAGAATTATAAGTGAGATGAAAGAAAATTTCTCCATGCAGCTAGTTAAATTGTGGAATTTGCTGCCTCAAAAGTGCTGTGAATGCAGAATTGATTAAGGATATAAAAACACAAATTAAATAGTTAGCTGGGAAGCAACAGTATTAAGGGGTATAGAGAAAAGGCAGGAAAAGGTGATTACAAGATCTGCGCTGTTATTATGAAATGGCAGAAAATGCACAAATGGTTTAATCTTCTTCCTATGCAGGATCACTTAGGCAAAGAGACACAAGCTCATCTCCTCCATCTTGCTGATCCCAAAGCAAAAAACCTCTCTTTCTCATACCACTCATCTAATTTCCTATGCTTATAGGATTGTTGTTCAGGACACCAGACAAAATTCCAATGAGATCTTTAACAAGAACTTGCATTTATATATTGCCCTTCATGCAGGATAGTCTGGGAATGCTATACAATGGCGGGGTTGGACCGCGAGCAAGGACAAAGGGGGAAGGAAGACGTAACCATAGAAGTTGTCAGAGGCAAGTCTTGAGGTGGAATTTAAATAAAGGAAACAAGGTGGAGGGACACAGGCAAAGGGTTCCAGAGGTTAGAGGGGTAGTGGCTGAAGATACCATCACCGATGGTAACGTGGAAATAGCCAGACAGGACCTCAGTTTACTGGCTCACCCAATCGACAGCAACTCCAGTCATGCAGCACCTACTTGCTACTTCACTGGAGTGTCAACCGTGTTCTAAGTCCTGACCCAAGGCTTCAACCTATACCTTCTGACCCAGAAGCAAGAGTGCTACCAGCTGATACACACAATGTAAGTGAAGTAAAACCATTCTCACCGCTTTCCGTTTGCTGGCCACCAGTTTCTTGTTTGATCTCTGGACACTGCTCGTGCCAAAGTAATCCATTACTGAGGTGGTGACCTTCATTGGGCTGGCGAGTTTGGCATGTGCAGGTTTGGTCTTCGATTTACTGACTGTGGACTTGCCAAACCCAGATGTTCCGGGACGGATGCTTGATCTCGGAGAGGACAACCCATTCTCACGGGACTTCTGAGTTCTTTTGCTGCCTTGCTGATAATCATCCTCTTCATCTTTTATTGGAGAGAAGGCAGGAAAACTCATTAGTGCACCAAAGTCACTTTAAAAAGGACGCATGCAACTAAAAATACATACACACTACCACCATCAGTAAGTGTGGAGGCAAGCGGTTTACACACTGCCTAAAATAGTCTCAGTCTTTGATTGAAACCATTGACCACCTTTCTCCCACCTCCTCAATCTCACCCAACTGCTCTGCATTTTGAGAAGTGTGAGGCACAAATAGTTGTTATAAATGAGATAAGATGCCACCATTGATTCATCGTTTACAGAATATCTGCTCATTTACATTTATGGAATTTCAGCCATTTTGTTTTGTGTTAAGTCTCTTGACTGGTCTTACAGAAAATGGTGAGCACCTTCTGAACCATTTGCATGTATCAAGTAGCTGGGAAAGCTACCTTGCTACTGAGGCTCTGTTCAACCCATGGGAGCTTGAGGCAGATTTATACCACAGGACTAGTTCAGGTAGCTCTGCTTCTAGAATATTATGAAGCACTCAGTATGTGCAATGCGCCTCAGTTACACTGTCTCTCTTGATCAGAAGATCACAAGATCAGTCTGGATGAAGATGTCGTTCAGCCCTTCCGATTTCATCCCTATTTAACACCCATCCACCAGGAATGCATCAAGCTGCTCTTTAAATTGAGTCAGGTGTACTGGCCTCTGCCATCTTTCCTGACAACCTTTCTCCAGTTATTGATAACCCTCTGTATAAAGAAAAAATCCCAATATCTATCTTGAAATTACCCTTTACAGCTCTAAACCTATGTCCTTGTGCTCTACTGTCTTGATGTAAAGTATGGATCTAGGTTTACTTTTTCAATTTTATATTGTACAACTCTGAGCTCCCTTCAGTCGTCTTTTCGCAAGAATGAAAAGACAAGCACGCTCACTCCAGCACAGAAAGAGAGAGACACACACTCACATAGAGACACTCACAAACACACACACCCCATACACACAACAGTGGGGCCTTCGACTGAAGCCCATTTGTCGCTTGCCCCACACCGTGCATGCGCTTCCAGAACCGCCCCATCCACAGTGACGTCAGGTAAACAGCCAGGAGGCCCGCGGGTCACAAACTACATTTATAGCAGGGTTGTAGCAGACGTGGGTGTTTTAGCGGATTCCGCAGAGAAAGTGTGACCGCACTTTTCTATTGGCCCAGCTCATAGCTCATTCCTCAAACACCGGGGATCATCCTTTTTCCTTGCTCATAAAATTCTGCCTTAAATCCATCAGCTCTCAATTAGCCTGAAACTTCCTGAGATAACTTTAACCTCTCTCATAACCTTAGAGCTGCCAACTTGAATACAAAGCTGACAGTTGTACTGCTGTTCTTTGTCAGAAAGCCTTTGCTGGTTCTCAAAACCTACCTTCCATAACTTCTGTCAACAACAACTTGCACTTATATAGCGCCCTCCGTGCAAGGTAGCGTCTCAGAGCGCTTAGCCTCGTGTTTCAATTGTCACATCTGGTAAAGAGAAGGCTGACTATTTTGGCTCACTTTTCTTGAGCTTCAATCAAATTCCTGCTCGATTAGAAAAAAAACTGGTTTAAGCAAATCCCAATCAATTTCTGGCTTGCATTTCCACTTCACATGCACGTCTGAGCACGAGTGTCTCAATGCCAGTCACCAAAGGGCCCCCACCAGCATTTGGGAACAGAGAGTCCATTCAACACAAAAACAAGCAGATTATCTCACCACGTGAATCATCTGCCACATCCTAGCGCAGCCTCGTCCCATCTCTCCACCCGCAACTCTTACAATGCATTGCGGTCTTCTTAATACTAAATCACAGCTTCAAACAATGAGCCAAGTTGCACACAACTCTGTATTAGGCTTCGCTAGTGCTTTCCTTTGCTAAGACGAAGGTTATCCTTTACGATCTGGAATACGCTGCCAGAAGGGTGGTGGAAGCAAATTCAACAATAACTTTCAAAAGGAAATTGGATATATACTTGAAAAGGAAAAATTTGGAGGCTATGGGGAAAGAGTGGGGGAATGGGACTAATTGGATAGCTCTTTCAAAGAGCTCAAGTAGCCTCCTTTTGTGCTGTAAGATTCTGTGATTCAACACACTTATGTCCCCCCTTCTCTTTTTCCTAGTTTGCACACACATACACCACACACACAAAAGTCCATTAAAGACCATTGACTCAAGATACTCCAGAACATCCATATCGAGTATCATTTGAGCATGACATGTGACTTCCAGTTCCTCACAACTCAACCGCAGAAGGTCCAATAACCCAAATGACATTTTCCAAAGCTTTCTGGATAACATTCTGCAAATTGAAATGTCATCTCAATTACAGCAGAGGCAGAAAGTTTTACAACCGGACTTCTGATAAAACCATAGTTTACAGCCCACAAATGACAGTGGTACTTTTGAGTTAGTGAGTTACAGCAGAAGCTTTTTGTTATCTAGAAGCAGCAACATTTTAATGTCCACAGGCCATACAGCTACCCACATTGGCACTGATGTTATTCAGTTTACTTTAAGGACTGGTAAGCATTAAAGGTAAAAGCTCCAGAGTGCTTGGATGAACATGCTTCCAACAGAAACCTAGCACCAAGGTCAAGGCTTTGCACTTGTAAATGCACAAGGTATCGGAGCTCCATGAGATTACTTTTACTGCACTTATCTCTGAACCGGCCAGAGCTGCCCATCTGTCCTCAGACCAACATACAGGGAAAATACAAATCTTTTGATAATATTAACTTTGACTCAACATAATTCCCATGTCATGCTAATGAATGTCATGCATCATGAAAACAATAATTTTCTTGGACAGAATCATAGAATGTTACAGCGTGGGAGGGAATTTGGTCCTTTGAGGATGCACAAACTCTCATAGCAAGTTGCAGTATCAATCCTAAGACCCTGTCCTTTCCAGTTCCTGGGCCAGGTGGGTCCGCAGTATTCCAGGGCACTGCTAATGACAGCACAGCCGGCCTGGCTCATTGGCAGGACCTGGAAGGGCAGACCAGTAACTGGGGGCAAGGAGTCATCCCACTCGTCTCCTGTTAACCATGCATGCCAAAGCCCTAATGAGTTGGGTGGTCCTAGCTCGACAAACAGCGGGAAAGCTTGCCGATCAGCAATATCAACGGCAAGCTATGCAGTTTTAACTGGTTAGACTCCAACAGCATCCCAACGCATACTCTGGGGAGCCCAGGCCTTGGCTCTTGCCAACCTGCGCCTAATACTTTCCAGAATTAGGTAAGCAGGAAGTGTCCCTCCAGGGAGAGAGTGCGCATTCCATTCCAACAACCTATCTCTGGGATTTCCATGTGTAGGTGGGATGCATGGAAAACTCAGCTTGGCTAATCTTAAGCATGGTGATGGGCTTCCGCATGTGCCAGACACCTGGCTGACCCCCCAAAAAGTATGTTTATCCAATTCCCTTTTGGTTGCTATGGTCTGCAATGGTTTTAACCTCAATACTCGTTTGAGGCAAAGCCTTAGATGTGCTGTTCTCAGCCCAGATGGCATAAGGTGCTACAATTGGCCATGGTGACCCTCTCAGCCATGATGCATTTTCAAAAAAAAGTATAGTCTGTTTTTATTCCTGTGATTGTAAATAAAGAGTGTAAAGATCGTAAATAGAGTGTGTAAATCTCTTCTGATCTGCATTAATCAGCTGTCTAAAACAACAAGATTACATTTGTATAGCGCCTTTCACGTCGGAAGGATGTCCCAAGGCGCTGGACAGAGTACAGAGTCTAATCCACTACACGGACCATATTTCAGCAAAGACCAGCTGGTCCAGCTTGACAAGAAGCCGCTTCAGAAACCGTCCCAACATCTCAATTCTAAGGTGCGCCAAGGTGATATCAGTGGCACAGGGAGTGACTGGTGGCACTAAACTGACATAAAGTAGTCAAACGTTCCAGTGGTATTCTCAAGACGTTAGAGAGCCAGGTCTACCTCTGATACAATTATCTCCTCCACAATGCACATTTTGTTCTAAACTATACTGCAATAGGAACTATCCTGAGCAAGAATCATTCAAGGCCTGAATGTTTCACACTGGAGAGCGGGTAGCTATTAAATCAAACAACATTATTACATTAAACTGGTGTAATTTTCCTTCATTGAAAAAGGGGGCATCGGGTGTTTATTGAAGAGTGTTCTTTATAACCGCACAACTGACTCAGATAAACAAAACATCTCAAAGTCCAATTGACTGAACAAGCTGTCAGCTACAGCTAGTCCCTGGCCTTACTCTGCTTGATGTTGACCCGCAAGCCAAGGCCACTGGTGCATTCCTTGGCAGACCCAGGCAAACAGTCAACGAGATATCCCAGTAATATTTTTTTACACATCCAATTGATGTTCCGACTGCAGAGCACGGATCAATGTGTACATTGCAAAATAAGAAAGACCTCACCAGCCCTCTCATTATAAGCACTCTCCACAACCTCAGATAAAGCAGATGCTGGTTATAGCTCCAACATGGAAAAACATTAAACCCCATCTCTCTGAAGCACATCCCGTTTCAGTAAAAGTGTTTCTGCACAGACTCCAAACACAGCTTTGTACTGGAGGCCCTAATGTACCAATGCCAACACAGTGCAAACATTCACAATACCGACCTTGCCCTGAAAAGGTCAATGTTACATTTCAATTTGATCCATTTATGTATTGGTAAACTATTACCTCTAGATAAGCTCAAACATATCATGACCCAGTTTCATCATACATGTTCACTTAGCAAACTATACTGGGGTGGGGGAGGGGCAGGAATGTAAATGAGGCAGCGCACATACTAACATTTGATATAGAGCCTTTCACATCAGAGAATACCTCAAAGCACTTCACAGGATATACCATAATGTATAACAACTGTCTTATTTTGTGGGCAATAATGGCAGCTAAATTGCACACATCAATATCCCACAAACAGCTGCAAAAAGGATGACCAATTTTATCAGGGGATTGTTGGCCAAGACACCGGGAAAAACTCTCTTATCGAATAGTTC